CTTCTGTGCACACGCTCACAGAGACCTCCACAACATGCAAGGAGGCAGCACTGTGGTAAGCAAAACCTGGTGGATGGACTGTATATTTATAGAAGTATCTTGTTTTGTTGAGAAGAAACTGCAAAATGCAAATCGGGCTTTACTTTAGAAGTCCCATTGGAGTTCAAAACAATGTATAAGAGTATTAAACACAAATGGTTTTTCCAGGTGTGCACGTTAACAGGTGAGGATAACCGGGAGATTGGAAAGATACCAGAGGATGAGCAGCTCCATGTCCTGCCTCTTTATAAGGCTTCCAACACAGATGAATTTGGCAGTGAGGAGGCTCAACAGGAGAAAATCAAGTCAGGCGCCATCCAAGTCCTCAGTGCCTTCCGCCGTCAGGTGCGCATGCTTTCAGAGCCAGCCAAGTCTTGTCGGCAAAAAAAGCTGGATGCTAAGAAGGCAGCGGCCCAGAGGAATGCCATCCTGGACAATGAAAAGGCAGAAAAGGCCCTCCTGGCCAAGGCAAAAGCTGGCACTTATGAGAGACCTCCTCAGATCACTCCTATGGCAGGTAGGGTAGCATTTATTCTGACATTTTATTATATGTATTTTAAATATAGTATCTTTGTAGTGAAAAACTTGAGAGCAATTTATTGACAAAAGGTGACTTTGGATTGCTCAGTTGTTTACCTTTTTGTGGTTTTGTTTTCTAGGACCTATCCAAGGTGCTGTGGGAGCAATCCCACAGGCAGGTCAGCCACCACACCCCATGGGGGCCCATCATCAGCAACTACAGCAACTACAGCAACAACAGCAACTACAGCAACTACAGCAACTACAGCAACAACAGCACCAAAACATTCTTCCCCCTTATCCTGGCTCAAATGTAGCCGGCTACCCCAGGTTCCCCAACCACCCTGGGTCTTTTCCAAGCACTTCCAGGCCAGGTACCATGTATCCCCCTCAGCCACCAACACCAACCAGCGCTTACCCCTCTCCTCTTCACGTACCGAACCCTTGCATAAATGGATCAAATCGTCCCTACCCAGGTTATCAATGTAACGGAGGAATGCCCCTGGACAGTTACCATCCGTACTATGCCTCAAACCCCAAGCACCTGGACATGTATCGACAACAGCGGCCAGCGCTTTACTCAGAGCAGCAGTACGGTGTACAGCAACGTTATGAGGTCAATTATCCGCCAAGGTATGGTGATCCAGGTTTACAGGTCAATGGTTACAATGCTTGCGGCATGAGGCCAGTTCACCCTATGAGACCTTACTCCCCTTATGGTCCTAATGGAGCCCCAGACTCCCAGTTTATGGACCCCCTCTCAAGAGCACCCTCAGCTCATGGGGGTCTAGACTATGCTGCTGTGAACAAAGGCAATCAGTTTGGAGGATACCCAAATCCATACCTGTCTCGGAGTCCTCAGATCGTAGCTCCAGGCCAAGATCCATTCCATATGCAAATCAAGACAGAGATGGGCTTGCCTCGCCCACAGATGCTTTCTGCTCAGATGTCTGGTGGGGGTTTACACCCTGAAGCACAGCCAGGGGTAGGTATGCCTAATGGGGGCCTCATGGGCTCTGGTATTAAGCAAGAGCCTGGAACACCACAGACTCCCACAACCCCGCAAAAACCTGAGGTGTGGTCGGACAATGAGCACAACTTCTTGGACCCAGACATCGGCGGAGTGGCATTGGCACCAAGCCACGGCTCAGTCCTCATCGAGTGTGCAAAACGAGAGCTCCATGCTACAACTCCAGTGAAGAACCCCAACCGCACTCACCCTACGCGCATCTCCTTGGTCTTCTACCAGCACAAAAATATGAACGAGGCCAAGCATGGTTTGTCACTATGGGAAGCCAAGATGGCCGAGAAGGCTCGAGAGAAGGAGGAAGACGCAGAAAAGAACGGTGGCGAGGGGACACCTAGCAAGAGCAAGAAGCCGGTGAAGCGTGAGCTTCCAGAGTTTTTAGAACCCCCCGGGGGGGAAACTTACCAGCGCTTTATCCAGTCGATAATGGAGGGGTCCATGACGTCCACAACAAACAGCTGTGTCAATACAACTCCATACGCCTTCACCAAGGTCACAGGCCCATACAGTCAGTTTGTGTAAGATGGACATTTAAGGTGCTTTATTTATGACGGACAAAGAACACAAGCACCACTGGCCTCGTCTAAACACTCCTTCCTATCCGTAAAGTCGGCAACAGTGTTGAAAAAGGAACCCGTGATCAACTGAGATATGAATCATCTTTCCCATCAGGTCTTTCACTTCTTTAACAATCAAGCTCCGATTGTTGACCCTCCTAAGGATGTATTTATTTTTGTTTGGTAACTTTCGCAAGATACACACTGTCAAAATCTCTGGTGCTTTCAATCGAATCCATAAGGACCTATTTTTAATGGAAACAAAGTTTCCTTTTTTGTGGCTTTATTTTTCTTACAAAATTCTACTCTTGGCATAAAACACTGACTTTTTTTAAATGACAACATTCATGGTGCTAACGTGTGTGATTGTTACCATTTATTTAAACTCAAATTCCATCATACTATGACAATACCGCACTCTACGAGTGACACTCAATAACTTATCTCAAAAGGACACTGAAAATATCTTCCCAAGGTCAGTCAATCAGCATTACAATGGTTTTTGGCAAGTCAGTGTTTCTCAGAGCACTTATTAATGATGAGAATTTTATGTTTTAATAATAGTTTTAAATCATGAAATCTAGTTAACTTTATCGTTACATTTAGAATAATTAATTTCTACGCACCACTCAAATTAAATTCATAATTTATAACACTGGATTGTATGGTCAATCCGGGGAAATGTTTCAAGGTCATGCAAAAAGATTTTTTTAACTATCATTGTGTTGGTGCTTCTTTCAATTTACTATGTCATTTATACTGTAAATTCAGCCATTCTAAATGGTGCTTTTTTTAACATTTTGAGGGGAAAAAAGTCCACATTTGTCATATTCTGTTTTCTCCAGGTTTACTTTGTCGTCAACAACTGTTTTCAATGTTCCTTACCTTGGGCTCATTGAACAAACCTGGACTGTGAATATTGCGTGTAGTTGTATGTCTGTGGTGCTTAGGAAATGTGCTTTTTATACACTGAGGAACATGAAACAGGGTCAGCTCAGTGTCGGTTCAGAGGCAGCTGGCTTGCTGTGGGGTCTTTAATTGTTGTAATCTAACTGTAAGATAAACAGGTGAGATTTGTACAGTAAATTAATTTCTTTTTGGAATTACTGTTATAGATTTTGTGTTGTAAAGAATGATAACAGTCTATTTCATTGTATTACTTTGGGTTTCAACTGATTTTTATATAACAAAGGTGCTATCCAACCTACTAGAAACATACAATGTGAGACTTTTTGAGCAGTGAGAAGGCTTTTAAATAATGTACAGTGCAAACCTTTCATATACCTCAAAACTAGTTTGGCAATAGGATTAAAACATATTTTTCTTTTATCCTTTGTATATTACTTTTAAAATGTGCAACTTCAGGCCACCAACAGCATAACAGTTCATGTTTTACTTTCTCATCTGTCTGCTAGAAAGTATTGCTTGAACTTGAATCTTTGAAGTTACTGTCAAATCAGGGACATTTTCAAATTACTTCGTGTTCATCGTCTGAATTCATCCGGTCATTTTCTAATTCAGGTTCTGGCCATTGCATCCTGAATCTGATATATATCTGCTCCACAAGATACTTTCCTGCAATTTTTTTTACTTCTATTAAGTGGGATAGTGTCAATCTTTTAAAAGTAATTTGAACATGCACTGAGTTGACTAAAGGGAAAGTATGCTATTGACAAAGTAACAAAGCAATGTATTTGCTATGGGGCAGGACCAGGGCAGTGATTAACATAGCTGCACATCTTTGTGCCTGTGTAAAGTTAAATTTATTTATAACCACTAAGCAATTGTATAATGATTTTCCTTCCCTGTTTGATTTAATTAATGCGATATGACTGTCATGTTATAGTAATGACTTACCCCACTCTTCAAGATATTCATTTTCTGAAAGCACTTCATTTCTTTTTCAGGAAAAAAATATGTAATAAAGAATTACAAAACGTTTTATTTAAATAGATTGTAAATGTGTTAAAAAAATAAATAAATTATGTCACAATGTACATACCAAGAACCTGTATTCCAGGAATACAACTCATTCTTTGATGTTGATGTATGTTCTTCTTGTTCTGTCTAACCGACCCACAGAGCACATCAGCAATCCTCGTCATATCTGTAATTATTATTTCGGCTCGTTCAGGTTAACAGAGTGATAACAGTTAGATTATCCAGGAAGTCTGTAAATGTACGCTCACTGTCACAGCAATGTTTACAGTTATACTATCCTGTCAGCTCAGATATTAGAAGTTCTAGTTTTTTTTTTAAACTGTTTCAATTTTGTGTAAACAAATATACATTAAAAATGTTGAATTTCCTTGTACAGGACCCAGCTACAGTAGCAGGTTGATGTTGAGAAAGCCAAGGTGTCTAAGATGTAGCGGGTTTAAAAGCATAGCCATACTTGAAGATGCTTGGGAGTGTTTCTGAGTGAGTCAACATTACTTGAATGACTTTCGGGGCTTAACCAGTGCGCTAACACGTGCTCAGCTCAAAGGTCAAGCTAGAAGTTGATACACACTTGGTCTTTTTGCAGTTAGACACTAAGGGTATAAAAAAAATGTGCAACTTTTTCCCTGTCGTTTTATTTTTTGAACGTTCCCTTTGTTCTCCTGAAGTTTGGTATGCTACGAAAATGGAATTAAGGATGGTTATTAATACTGTAAGTATTGTAATGTAATGAATGCAGTTTATTTGAAAGCTGTTAATTATATCATTCCTGATATTGCTGAGATGTGGGTGTTTTTTTAATAAAATTTATATTTATTTAAAACAATTTTATTTGTTAATACTAGTAATTAAATTATTGTGCATTATTGTCCACATGCTGACGTTTTGTAGTAATGGATGAAACTGGACAGACGATACTTTATTAATGGATTTGTTTTTTTATTTGATTTACCAAAACGGAAAGGAATCGGTGTTACAAACAAACTGCGTTATGGTTTCTCGCAGAAACTGATTACAGTCCTAAAGCCCAACCAAAAAAACGTATCATGACTTTAGTCCCATATAAGGCTGGACCTGGACTTTTGACACAAAGAAACTACAGAAAATATACAATATCATTTAAAATTCAATGGAAAAGGAGATACATTTTTGGGGGGGATTAACCTCTGAATTAAAAATATTATTATAAATCAATCTGGTGTCCAACATGACACTAAAAAAACATCTCATACAGATCTTCACTGTCCCATTTTCAAGTCCTTTGAATTTCCATTACATTGTTTTACTCCAAATGATTGGTTGATAAACTCAGATGGCACTTTTTACAGCTGAAAATGTGTCCTTACCAAAAATCAATCAAGCTGCATTCAAAAGTGTTCAGCTGCTTCAAGTTGGTTTCCATGTTGTCTTCAGATCCTCAGACAAAATGCCACTTGCCCACTGTGCGAGCGAGAGAAGATTTAGAATAAGAATAAAAGCATTGAATCATAAAAAAACTAAACACATTTAATGCAGGTTAGACTTTGTGTACTTACATTCTGGACACGCAACATGTGCACTGTCGAATGCAGGGGCCTGAAGGGTCAAACATTACACAGGAGAATTACTAAACATAACTTTCACACAGTTTTATCTAAAAGTATTATGTTTGCTATAATATTTGTTGAAACCCCAGCATATGGAAGAACTCACCGATTCCACCACCTCTTTGGCCTCTTCTGCACTGCACTTAGAGGGGCTCTCACAGCAGGAGATATTTTTGCTATACAAAAATAAAAGTTGTGTTCATTCACCAAACATAGCTAATGATATACATCACATAACTTTACACTGCAGGAGTTTCACCTCCTACCTACCATGCGATGCCTGCGCTGTTTGACTTCTTCTGCACTAGTGCCCTCCAGTGCTCATGGGTGGACATTATGATCTCAACTGCAAAGTCCTATAGGACAATACATACAAAAAAACACATCATTTGATTTCATAGGGAGCAATACATTCAATTTAAGCCACAAAAGACTCTACCCCTGGGTAAACATGTCTAAATGTACATACTGTGTTACAAATGTTTCTGTACCTTGTCTTTAAATTGTCCGTTGAATCCAAATTGGTTCTCAGGCTTTCCATCAGGAACCTTGTATTTCCTGAACCAGTCGACAGTGGCCTCTAAATGACCAGGCCGGCTCTTGCGGACATCCTCTATGCCTGAAGAAAACACAACCAGATTTAACAGAATCACAACAGAGTACTAAATGCACAATAATTGGTCTTAAATATAAATTAGATACGACTCTGACTCCATTTACACTTTAGGGATATATCTTATTGCAAAATAAAGAGTATGTTGAAAATGTACATCCTTCAGTAGAATGGTATTTGTTTAGAAACGTTTTCGAGATTAGAAAGGTAATTAATTAGAACTGCCATCTCTTATTACGAGTATATATGTCATTAATTAGAAAAGTACTTTTGAAATAGTTAGAAAGTAATTGTTGTGCCTTTATTATTTATTATTATTATTATTATTATTATTAATGACTTTCTTTCAACAAACATATGAGCACAAGATTTAACATGGTGCTTTTGCAGGATCATTTGTGGAGAAACTCAGTTTAACATGTTTATTATGCCCTGTTAAAACCACATTAGGAGAAGGTTGCAGCTGTATAGTAAACAATGCATGCTTAAAAGTAGAACAGAAACAGGTTATTCAAATGCTGTAAGAAACATTCAGCATGTTTATAATGCCTTTAGGATATACACAATAGTTTAGTAGAGAAATGTTGATTGTAAACAAAGCTGTGTTGACAATGAAAACTCCACAGGGAAGGTTTTAGGTAAGAGTTGAAACTATAGTCTGAAGTTTCTGTCTGACTTGCCAACTCAGACAGACAAACCATTTATCATATGTCGGGACGAATCCCGATGGGCCGGTACCCTCACAAACGTCGATGGGATCATTGTCACTTCATTTACACTTCGTTACCGGTAGGGGCGGACTGGCCATCTGTAGAATGCCGACAGAGGTTGTTGACAGTTCACTAGCCCCCCCCCCCCCCCCCCCCATCCCCCCCCCATCCCCCCCCCCCAGTGAGGATTTACGTGGGCTGGGCTGGGTGAGATTCCAGGGCTGATTTTTAGTCCCAGTCCGCCCCTGTATGTGATAAAGTGTGGATCTGACAAGCTCTGGAGATAGGTTGGGCATATTCATTTACTTTAATTGACACTTAATATAAAACCATTTGTACTTAAAAGTTTTGCGTATAGATAAATCCCTATTTTCCCTGATGCAAGGATTCCTGAACTAAATTATTCCAGGCTAGACAATGGATCATTGTAAGGCCGTTTTTAGATGTGGTTGATGTGATCTGAGGAAAACACCCACTGTTCAGCTTTTTGGCGTCAGGGTCCTTAACGTTGATAGCGATGACCTTCCAGTCCATTTCTCCCTCATCGATCATGGCCAGGATACCGAGCACTTTCACCTGGATCACCTGACCTGGAGAGCACACCTGAAAAACATCACAACAGATAACAAACAAGTAGTCAAATCAATCCAAGTTATCTTCGAAAGATATAAGCCGCTTTCACACAAAGTACTTTGCCGTACTTAGTGCCCAGCACTTAGTACCCCCATGGAACTTAGTACAGATCGCGTTCACACCGGAATAAGTTCCCTGAGGGAAGATTACGCAAATGAAGCCGCTGACGTCACTTCTTCTTCTTTGGGTTTACTGGCAGGCCGCAAACCACTTCACGGCGTATACTGCCACCCGAAGTCCCCGGAGTTGGGGACTGGCTTCAGTAGAAGCTGCTGGGACTCCCAGCAGCTTCTACTGAAGCCTTCTGAGTAAATCGCCAGAACGCCGACACCTCCTCATCACTCCACCGCTCCCATGTTTTTTTTTGTTTTGCCATAAGTTATTCTCTCTCCGTTGATGCGTGGGGCTAATGCTAATAATGCTAATGCCAGCAAATACAATGGTGGCTTCACAAAACTTTTCAGAGTTTTACGGGGCGTGGTTTGCAATTCGCCCAGCCAATCGAAATTGGTACTTTTCTCTCCCCAGGATAGTACCACCTCTCTAGCAGGCACTAAAAATGGGGGTAAAAGTTCTCGGAACTAAGTACTCTTTTTGGTGTGAACGCAAAATTCCAGGCACTAACGGAACTAAACGGGAAAAGTACGGGTAAAAGTACTCCGGTGGGAAAGTGCCTATTGTAATTAAAAAACCTATAGAATCAGAATCATAATACCTTTATTAGTCCCACAGAGGGGAACGTTACATTGTTACAGCAGAAAAGAGCTAAAGACAGCTTAATGTTACCTAAGCATGCATACAAAAAAAGTAACAGTTCTGAGGATTTAGCAGCCAGGTATATATTGCACAGTTTTTAACCGCATATATATTGCACATAGTTGGTATTTAACAACAAGAGGTGTTAATGATAGAATTTGTATATTAATAAACACTTAAAGCAGTCTTACTTGGGTGCCGATCTCACAAACGTCGATGGGATCATTGTCACCACAACACTTTGTCTCTGCGTCCGTGTGGTTCGGGTCTTCCCACGTCTTTCCATAGAAACCGTTCAAAAACATGTAAGAAATGAAAATGTTCTACCAAACTTTTTGAACCATCACTAGGTCTAAGTCTTATGGATGTTTTTAGATAAAAAGCCTGAATAACTTAATTTTCTTCCGTGCATTTTCCTCACCTGTGGAATCGCCCCATAATTCCAGATGTAACCTTTGTGGGGAAATATGTTGGCAACATACCGGAGCTTTCCTTTCTTCACATCTTGCTTGATCGGGTTCAGGGGTTCCTTAGTTGCAATCTGGAAAAATAAGCAAATAAGACTTGTGTAATTTTGCAAACTTAATTAAATGTTTTCAGTGTCATTAACACTCAAAACAGCATCAAGCTACTGCAATGCTAACTGCGGAAAAAGCTAGTATTGGATCCTCAGTTTAGAAACACATTAAATAATAACAGTAATAGTTTGAGGCTACTCATGTTAAATTCTTGGAGTTTCAATGAATAGGAGTTGGCGTTCCAGTTATAACTTGAAAATGTCAATACCAGCCTTTACCTAAGCAGTAGTAGCTGTAGTAGTAAATGTGAAATAATAATAAACAATCATAAAAGTGAGGTAGTGTATGGCCTTCTCACCTCCATTTTAGCATTTGACCATCGAGGTACCTCCACCACCATGTTAAAGAGCACCTGGAGGAAGAAAGAAAGCTTTATGCAGTGTTTGCTGGGGTCGAACGTTTCCAGGTGGTCAAACTATGATAAATAATGTAATCAGACATTACCTCACTGTCATTCTTCTTGGGCTTTTTAGCTGGCACATCATTGTCCTGTTAAAACAAATGTGTAAATTGCTGGTTTGAATATTGTGTTTATCCAGGTTGTGAACTTTTTACAGTATCTATCACTCAGGTGTTATCAAAGTGTTACCTGTTCTGTCTCCGCTATGAGTGAGATGTCATGGAAAGGTGAAATGTATTTTCCATCAGATGTTTCTGAGAAAAGACAAACCCAAAAAGTTTTAAATAATACAGCAACCTCAATACAAACAGTATGAACATACAATTATTTGTAAACAGATAAAGTTTTGCTTTTGTTAAACGTGGCCTCTTTTTTTCAAATCAAGTCTTTTCTCCTTTTTTTAAATTCTTCATTCACCTTGGAAGCATGCGAGATAAACACGTTTATATTTAACAATTCAAAGTGACAATGGGTGAGTAACTGATGCATTTTGTGGCTGAAGTATTCTATGAAATGCAAATTTAGCCAAATACAGCATTTGCTTTTTTGATTGAGACAAAATATATGATTGTATTCGTGACCTTTATAGGCATAGTTTTTCTTGTCATAGCAATGTTCGAGTCACTAAGAAAGGCTGGATATTTTAATCAGTTTTTAGTCATTCATCTTCATTTATAATATACTACACTATAAATTGCCACCTTCTTATTGTTTAAATTAAAACACCTACAGTCACGACCAAATATAGTAACATTATCCATATTGGACACAGAACAAAGTGACACTTTACTAGGTTAATAATGTGTTGCATTATATCATAATTGTACTAGTTAATCTCAATATTTAATATTTCTGTGTAGCTATTATCCACGTGACAGCCCAAACAGGATGTAAAAACCACGTGAGGATGTGTCCCGGATCTAAATAGAAACATCTTTCTCGCCTTTCTGCTTATGCACCATTTCAGCAAACGGGGAACTATCGTTGAGCATTTTAATGGGGGTTTCACTCCAAAGCTAAGTGCTAATAGTGCTACAAGGCAATAACAACCTTGCACATGCAACTCAAAGGTCAAACCTTGACCTGCAGGGTACCTGTCACACAGCGTGTGCTAAAACACTACGAAATGAATGGGACACGCATTGGTTCGTCCCCATGGCGGTGATGATAATAACTTACTAAAATAAATCCGGTAGTCAGGAGAATGGGGGCGTCCTCTCTCCTCCGTTTGATAGTGCATCGTTTTCCTGAAATAATACAGATGCGGAACTGCTGCTGCTTGTGTGACGAGTTTGTTTCTAGAAGCACGAAATGAGCCGAAAACTGTGTCCAGGCAGCCGAGCGGAGGGCGCAGCAGCAGTGGTCTCATTATACACTATTTCCCGGTTCCTGCTTCCCGTTTTCACCTCAGACACTTCCACAAATGTCAAGTCCGCCATGATGAAACCTGGCGTTTCCGGTTAGAGGTTTTCAAAGTAAAAGCACTCCAGGCTGAGACTATGCTCACTACACATTTTATATGAATACAAAATGAAATCAAGACCCAATGGAAGAAACATAACATTTAATAACAACATATAAGCGGTTGACTGAAAGACAAAATGGTTCACTGCAGGGTTTACCTTGAATCCTTAAATGTATTAATTTACTTATTACTTACTTATTATAATAACTTGATGTATTTCATGAAATAAAGTAGTTCTCAATGGGAAGCGTTATCATATGTATGTATAATGGGTTAAATGTATAAATTCAATAAACATGCTTACAAAAAATGCTTCTGGGGGTTTCGAAAGTGGAGAGGGTCATCAATCTTCTATTTTTTTATGTGGGATATGTGGCCTGATAAAATGGAAATTTCCAGACAGGCACAAAGACATTTTTGGCATATGTTTGATCTCTGTTTATCTATATATATTTGATGTAAGCTACTGACTGATTTTGGAACACAAAGCTGCTTGTAATTCATAATTGCACTTTTATTTTGAAGTAAAATCAATGCAACCGGTAATTTGTCCATATAAACTTCACGGCTCTGCCATTGCATGCTTGTTGTGGTCCATGATGTGTAGTAGGCTATATTTATTTTGCTGCCACCTAGCAATGGGACGCATTAACACACACATCTTTGTCCAATGACTGGAAACATAGCTGGCTGCCCCTTTTATTAAGAAAAACATGGTATTGAATGTGATTACTCAAGCATGGCTGTCATGGAGAGAGAAGAAAAATGAATTTCTGAAGACTTTCTTTTCTATTCATTTATTATTTTGATATTTTTAATTGTAGCTATTTCCATATTAGAGTTTACAAAAGAGAAACAAGTTGTAGTTACTACTAGTTGAATGGGAGCTAACACAACAAGTTCGTACAATACAATACAATACAGCTTTATTTATAGAGCACTTTAAACCTCCAGACCAAAGTGTTGTACAGTCAAATAAACAAAACAAAACATACAAAAAGTAACACAGCTCAGCTCACACACCATAAAACAAGTACAAGTAAAAACAATAGACAATTTAAAAGCAATAAAAGCAACACTCTAAAAGATGTTAATACGCTAAGGAGAAGAGGTGGGTTTTAAGAAGCGATTTAAAAGCAGGCAGTGTGGAGGCCTGTCTGATATGCATGGGCAGATCGTTCCACAGTGTGGGAGCCGCTACAGAGAAGCAACGGTCCCCTCTCCGCTTTGACTTGGTTCTGGGCACATTCAGGAGCAGTTGATCCGCTGACCTGAGAGGGCGGTTGGGCGTGTAAGGGTGTAGCAGCTCAGAAAGATATGGTGGGGTCATGCCATTTAGTGATTTAAAAGTAAATAAAAGGATTTTGAAATGAGTCCTAAGATGTATTGGCAGCCAATGGAGCGAAGCCAAAATGGGGAAAATGTGGTCATATTTCCGCGTGCCAGTTAAAAGCCTTGCTGCGGCATTTTGCACCAGCTGCAGACGAGCGAGGGAGGACCCACTGACCCCCATGTAGAGAGAGTTACAGTAATCCAGCCGAGTGGTGACAAAGGCGTGGATTACTGTCTCAAACTGCTGTCTGGAGAGAAAAGGTTTTATTTCGTAGACCTTTTATTACTATCATTATGCCCACTGGCTTTTTACAATGGGTTTTTCCATGTTCAATAACTGAGTGTATTGATCATTATTGCCTCCTGTCTTGGCAACTTTGGCAACCATTTTCAGGACAACCATAAAGGTCATTGTCGCTCTTGCTTTAATGTCCCTGTGCTTTTATTTTTATGACATGAAGGTGATGGATTCAATGGTAATAATCTCCAGAAAACAGCGTGAGATCAAAGTCCATATGTATCCATTGTGTCATAGACAAACACCCACCCCAGCGACCTTGATGTGTCTCCTTTGCTGTTGAATAGCTCTATCTCTGTTCAAACACATTTCATAAAGATTGGCAACCATAACAAAAAGTTGCTTTATTTTCTTGCAGTGGATGCTGGCCTTTGATACTGTTGCCAAGCGGCTTTGATTCTGCCGAGCACATAATCCCATTAATGCTGTGTGCTTCAGCTAACAGGAATGTTTTTATTACAAAGATCGTGCTGAAGTTCCCACAAGAAAAAAACTTAAAACAAATATTTCATGTTGTAAAAGTTGGAGCCTAGTAGTGGCCAAGGTCAAAGCATTATACGTTGATATGATGATGATGATAAGAGGATGCATTTGGCTGTGTGGGAATGTCAAGTGAGATTATGAAAGCTTCACAGAGGAGTAAAATGTCTCCTTGTTTTGGAAAATCTGTACAAGAGCCAAATGAGAAGAGTTCCCATAAGCAAAGCAGTCTGCCATGACTTTTCCAGTGATGGTGCCCAAGTGGCCGGCAGTAAAAGTCTGTGGCTGTCGAAGAAGGTTTTAGGCATAAGAATGTTTTTATTTTACACTTTTCACTCACCTAGCTCTCTCCTTCAGCTCCTTCCTCTGGCTGCTGCTGACAAAAAAAGCACCTCTTTGTTATTTAGTCAATAACTTTGAGAATGAAGTCCTGTTAGCATATGTTTCTTTTAGCATAAGAACATTTGTTTGTTAGTCATTATATGTTTCATTTGTGTCCACTTGATTGTCTCCTCCATGATTTCCTGTTTTTGGTTTTATCATGTTCTGTTGCCTATTAGCGTTTTCTTTTTTTTAACAAATTGTACGGTGTCCTTGGGTGTCATGAAAGGTGCCTAAAAATAAAATGTATTATTATTATTATTAGTTAGCTGAACAAAAGTACACAGCATGTGGTCATAATCCAACAGTAGTTTATACAAATGTGTTTGCACATTTGTCTTGCACTAATATTTTGCACATTCTATCTACAATTTTGCACTAATGTACATTCTCAAATATTGAAGTGACTGTTATTTTGTATATATTGATTGTTGTGTTTTTATTTAGGTCTTAATGTGTGCACAAGTAAAAATGTGTCTTTGATTCTGTGTATATATATATATACATATTTGCACACATATTTTTATACACATTTGTTTTATATTCGGGATTGTGGGAAACGGTATTTCGATCTCTCTGTCTGTACACACAAACTGATTGACAATAAAGTTGACTTTGACTTTGACTTATGTTTGACTAGTATTTTCTATTCAAAGGACATTTTAAAGAACAAAGTGACCAAAGCATCAACCAACTATTTATGTTAAATGTTAGGAAGTACCTAATAAAAATACCCAAATAAAGTAATTTGAACATTATTTTGACATAATATATGGATTATATAGAATATTTACACACACACATATGAATTATGAAGCAAGTACAGTATGTGAGTGATTCTATAATTTAGGGTGCATTTCACATCAACAAAACAGTACAAAGAAAGTGTTCTTTCTCAATAGAACAATCAGTGGTTCAAGTTAGTATATTCTTCAGTGTAACATATCCACTAGTTGCAAAGCTTAAACATTTTTTTATTTTATTTTATTTTAAGGGAAAGGATGTTTTCACTACTCAGTTTGTCAACTATGTTACGGACAAACTTGATGTCATTACAATCATTTGATTAAGTCCTGCACTTCAAGTAAAATCACATTTGAAAGGCTCTTGAGTCTATTCTACCATATATCCAAAGATTTTTTAAAGTTTAAAAAAGAATTGTATTAAAGTTTTGTTTTTTCATGTGATATGTTCAGCACTGTCATTAAGTTTAGGGATATTTTGTATTATAAAACTACCATACAGGTCATTTTGATAGTTTTAAGAGATGTCATGTAAAACTCCAACCTGTGTAGATATACATTATACTATAAAGGATATCAGAAGCACTATTTTAGATATTTTAAATTTGAAAAAATGAGGTGCAACATAGTTGACAATGAAAGTCAAACATTTGACGCAAATAAAATAGTTGACTGGACACATTATTAACCATCAGCACTATGTTAATTTCAAGGCAGAAGTGCAAAATTCCATTGATAATGATGTGTAATGACGTCTACATGTCCTACAAATTGTCAACTAGGTTACCTGTCAACTAAGTTACTACAGTTATTACAGTACTGGGTAACTCAGTTGACAGGTAACTTAGTTGACAATTTCCCTATTTTGACCCATCATTTCAATGGTAGGCCTTGCTTGGATGACCACATGTCATTTTCTTGAACAGGTTAACATCACATTTGAACATATAATTGAATTAAAATCATTAAACAATTGTAAACCATAACAATGTACGTAACATTGTTGATTGTCAATGAGTATATTAATTGACCATGTGCTATTATACATAAAATATTGTAAAAAATTAGAGGACAATCACCACAGTGTGTTCAAAATGTCTGCCAAAGAGGAACATGGCATCATGTGATGCTGGTGACATGGTATTGGGACAAACCATTTTTGAGTTAAAGGGGGGAGTTCTCTTAGTAACATAGTTGACAGAACTTTTGCGGACATTCATATATTAAGATATTTAAATTATTTAAAGGAGGAAATCAATTAAAAATATGTTATTATTCTTTAGTATTTAGACTTTTGAAATAAATGAATACTTTTTTTTATTTACTTTAATGGTTTTTATTCATTATTTTGAAACCAAGACACCCTCAACTGAAAAACGGACAGAGCAAAAATTGACAATTTAAGAACATCATGACACATTTCAAGCTAAATAAAGCATAGGATACACATAATGTTTGTGTGATATTATAACATGCTTTCCAATAATAGGCAAAATATGATATTTTTGAAGAAATACTTAGAATAATTATAATTATCATCAATGGACATCAATGGACATGGAATGTACCCTAAATTGTAGAATCACTCATGTATGTCAACCATTCTCTTCCTAAACATATACTTTTTTTGAATACTTTTGGACATTTTAAAGACCTATGAATAGAGAAAATTATCGTCAGGGTAATCCCTTAAAAACAAAAAGAGTAATTAATTGGATTCCTTGTTAGAAATATAACTTTATTCTGGGCGAAGAATACGCTTAATGACTATATTTGGACTGCCTGAAATTGTTCTTAACTGTGAGAAAGTTCTCTCTAGACTTCAGGTCTTGAAAAGCCACACCCTGAGTTATACGATGTCACATGAGCGGCTCCAGGGCTAAACAATTAATATCCTCATGCTGACAGCGCACTGGAGATAACATTGTTTACTCACTTTCTTTGTTTGCATAAAGTATGTGATTGTTCTGTAAGGTTTACCAACTTCCTGTGGTTACATAATACTGCTAACATTGACGTCTGCTTTGTTTGAAGAAAATTTACCTGTGCTTGTTTAACAGAGATTACAATGCAAATTTGTGAAGATTTTTCTTGAAAACAAATAGATGATGCAATGAGAATAATGTAAAAAAAAAACAACTGTCTTAAATTGATGACCAGCTGATATAGTTAATGTTTATCATTCCAGTTCAATGGAAGTTTAACAGGTGTATTATGAGCGCACTGCACAGAGATCTGAAAGCACAATGGGAGCACTCATTACCTGTAGTTCAATGAGGAGGAAATGCATCCATTCATTGTCTGGTGAGGAACGCAGTATCTGGTTGCTATGACCAGAAGTCATTGTGGCAGCATGTGTGTTGATGAATTACCTGTCCAACCAGATCTGAAGTTTAAAGAATATATTTTTGCAGATGGAAACACAAAACTTGAAAATGCCTTGTGTGTGATAATTAGCCAATGTGATTATCACTAACACTACACTTAAAGGGACTCTATTATGCTAATTTTCTGGTTGATATTTGTATTTTCTGCCTGTACTGTGACATGTCTCCATGCTTTAATGTTCAAAAAGCTCTTTTTATTTCTCTCATACTGCCTGTGCTGCAGCACCTCTTTTCACCCTTTGTCTAAAACCAGAGCCTAGTCTGCTCTGATTGGTTAACTTGAGTGTTACATACAGTAGTGATGTCATTATGTTAGGGAAGTAAACAACAAAAGGAGTCCAATGGAGGCATATCAAGTTCTCTGATAAGACACTTTTAAAATGTTACTTCTAGGCAGCTATAAACTGTGTGATTAGATTTTGTTGCATTCATATTATGGACATTTCCTACATTTAAAGAGTAGATTGTAGACATAAAAGTTTGACTCACTTGATGCACAATTGACTTGCACTTTGTGTAAATATAAAGCTTTCTTTACTGACAAGGGGGATTTACAGCATTGGGGCTATTTACATAAATACTTGTCGACAGTTAGCGCAGTGTTAGTGTCTCTGTGAGCTCCTACATGAATTCTTTTTTGTGAGGACATTTATTGATGCTTTAAATAAAAGCAGAACGATTACTTCTGCTGGGGGTTATTGCTCTGTCCTTAACTCTTTTCCTATATGTAATGATCTGAGGGTAGAAGCACAGCACAGCACAGCAGTAAGAGGTGTGGCCACACAGCCTTCCTGACAGGTACACATGGGGAGGAGCTGGGTCACCTGCAGAGCTGACAGTCAGTGCACACAGAGAGCACCTGTTGCACCTCCCAGGCTCGCTCTGCTTCTCTTCCCTCCTCCTGTCCCTCTCTCTTCCCCTACTTTTCTCCTTGGCTGCTCCGAAAGGCAGCTTACGGCCTCACCATGGATCCCAATGAGGCCGGCGGGGGTGAGAAGGAGAAGGACAAAGAGAAGGAGAAAGTGATAAAGAGGAGAAACCGGCCTGTGTTCCTGCGGTACCTGGAGAGGAGGAGGACGGACACTATTGTGGCTGAGGATTCGGCCAAAGGTGACTTCAACCTGGGGACGCTGGTGAGGAGGACCCAGTCTGACAAGACGGAGTACAGCGCTAAACTAAAAGGTACACCTGCTAATGACCTCCCGGGGGTCACAACTATAGCAACAGTCTATACACACGTGAGCCAACAATTAGTCTCTCAACTCCTTACATTGCAAACTTGTTGATAACATGCTGGTTGGGAGAACTTTTTAGACAAATATGTAGAAGGACTCTAAGAGCAACATCTATGGCTTAAGGGCAAACATTTAAAGATGTTAGATCTAGATTAGGATTTAATATCCTTGGGTGATGTTTGTATTCACAGCAAGAAAGTACACAGAAACATGTAAACGCTCAGCAACACATAGGGCAAAACAAAGATATAGACCGTAAACAAAAACTTTATGCAATTGCCAAAGCCCACAACAGTGTCAGTGAGGTGCATTAAGTATGCACTGCTCTATAGCTCTGGATACAGGGCACCTGTTGTGTTACTATGTGTTAGCCGGAGAGACTCCCACAGGGATGAAGCCACATATGCAAACTGTGCTCCAAACTCAGGCACAGAGGAGTGGCTTTAGAAGTGTTCCAGACCGGCTAGTAAACAAGAGAGTGACGTGGGAAGAAGGCTGTACAGATTATTTTCATCGTCAAATAAAGCGACAAGAGTATCATGGGACGTAGGGCGATGTCAGGCGATAGGGCTGTGTTTGCATTGAATATAAAATAACAGAGCTATATGCATTGTTTGACCAGGAAAGTAAAAACTCTGGTAAAGACAAATGGTATTATGCTGCCTCATCACAACTGCTGACACAGACTTTTCACACACACACACACGCACACGCACACGCACACGCACACGCACACGCACACGCACACGCACACGCACACGCACACACACACACACACACACACACACACACACACGTCCACATTTATAGAAAAACTGGCTTCACCTGTCCTTAGAGTGCTGTCAGTGACTGGGAATGCTGCCCTTCAGGCAACAGGACTGACATCACTGTGTCAGCAGGGGGTTACTATTAAAGATTACCACAAGTATGCAGGCTTTCCTGTGCCACTTGTTTCTGCATTTCCTTTTTCTTCTGAACAATGGCCATCACATGCCAGAAGGATAAGTGCCACCTTGTTTAAAATAGCAAAGGATAACCCACTTTTCACTTGAAGTTGAACTGATAAGATAGCTTTTACACACACCCTTTCCTTATCAGCAGCTGCTCTGTTTACTTGAAATAGAGACACTCTCTAATTCTTTGCACTGTTATTCTTGACCAGCCTGCATAATGACAGGCCGGATTGTCAAAAAACACACTGTGTTGTTTTCAGTAAACCATTCTCCCACCCTGTTTGACTTTAGCCCCGCACCTGACAGGCCGTATTACATATTTACAGTGGTATTACCATTGCAAATATTGACAGAACGATGACTTCACTGAAAGAGGAAACACGTGAGTTGCTGTAGTTCTCATCTGCTCGTCAGACAGGTTGTTCAAGCAACAGAACCATGGCAACGTGACATCAATACGTATAATAATTTACAGCGACTAAATATAATAGCCCTGGCAATGGTTTACCAGAACAAACGCACATAAAAGGACAGTAATAAATTACATATTCACTTGTATTCTTTGGCAGATCATGGATGGAGATCATTAATATGGGTTTATACTCTTTTGTGTGTGTGTGTGTGTGTGTGTGTGTGTGTGTGTGTGTGTGTGTGTGTGTGTGTGTGTGTGTGTGTGTGTGTGTGTGTGTGTGTGTGTGTGTGTGTGTGTGTGTGTGTGTGTGTGTGTGTGTGTGTGTGTGTGTGTGTGTGTGTGTAACCTTGACTTTCATTGGCATTCAATATTTTGTGGCATTATCTTTTCTTAATTAGACAAAATAAATGTTAACATACTTACAAGGATAGATGTCCTACTTTCTTTTTAGTGATAAATCATTCCAAGCGCTTAATATTTTCGAGACATTTCCAGGCTTTTTTTTTCTATTTCAGCATTCTTTATAAAAAATATATCGTCTCATTGATAAAAATCCCATTGTGCACTGCTGTGTGGTGAAAGTCAAACGTGTCATCTTTCCTGCTGGTGTCATGTGATACACCGTGCCTTGTACTCCGTCTGTCGGATCCCTTTCTATGGGCTGAGCAGTGAAAAGCCCTGTATCCACTTTCATGGGAACTCCTGTGCCGGCAACCATACCTCACCAAAGATAATGCCAGAAAAAACAACCAGTCAGCACAGTTTGAGATCTGCTGCTGAGTCTTCATAGGATATATAGTAACACATTTTAGGTTTTGTATCATTGAGAATGTGCAGGGGAATCCTTTCAAGGCTAGTTTTGAGTGGGAAAACTTTCACACAGAAGTGCTGCAACAATATGACACTTTTCTTATCAACACTTTGTACAGTGGCAGAAAAATTAGGTTAGGTTTAAGCTTAAACAATTGTATGAATAGAGTATGCTTTTGTCTAATGAGCCACCAGGATTCCTCTATCATTAAGGGGACCTTTTCTCACGGGTGGAGGTTTTCAGTGGTTGAAAAAACTGGGGTCACTTTTCACACTGAAAGCTCATAAAGACACATGACACTTAATGTGGACATATGACTTTGATACTTATTTTACATAACATTCCCACTAGTTTAACAATATCTGAGGTTCCTAAAGTGAAACATTTAATTCCACAGTTAAATATGGCTATATCTTTAACAGGGATTTATTCCAAAGCTTCATTTGACTCATACAACAGATGACCTTGACATTGACAAGTTAATAAATAACTACTAATGGGAAAGGTCTCAGACTGCACAGCTCTGTGTGTGTGTGTGTGTGTGTGTGTGTGTGTGTGTGTGTGTGTGTGTGTGTGTGTGTGTGTGTGTGTGTGTGTGTGTGTGTGTGTGTGTGTGTGTGTGTGTGTGTGGGTGTGTGGGGGTGTGTGGTGTATACACTGCCAAACATGTTTGTATACAGCTCCGGGAAAAGAGTCAACTTCAAATTGTTCTTAAATCTCAATCTCTACATGTATGGCAGCCATTCCATTAAAGTGTATGTTGAATTCCAACACAGAGAAATGTTGTCAGTAGTTTATAGAATAAAATAAAAAAGTTGTAATTTTACGTAAACACATACATTTAAATAGTAAAACCAGAGAAGTTGATAATGCTGCGGTGGTCTCTTAATTTTTTCCAGAGCTGTATGTTATAATTATAAAGCAGCATTCAGAATAAAGCTGTGGTCCTTTTTCTATTTTCAGCTGTTTTATTTTTGTCAACATTCATTAGTGGGCCGGATGTTAAAAGCTTTAACTGATACACTGTCCAAAAGGCAACCACATTCAAACAAGGAATTAAAAAGTGATCTGTATCAAGTGGTGGAGACGAAACACTTTATTAAAATGCATATTACCTTTTAGATTTTTGTAATGTTTTTCATTGAGAATTCCAGAGGTTATGATTCACCTCTGCAGGTGTTTTATTTCCTGTTTATCAGGGGAAAACAATGTAAGGTGTAGCTGTACGCAGTGTCCCAGACAGAATGTGATCAGATCGCTGCCAGAGTCAATCACGTGTGAACACAATCTGTACAGTGTTCGCATTCATCAGAAAGTTCTGCCCCACTGGCCAAAGACACACAAGCCATTATACTCAGCTTCAGCCACCAGTTACTCTACTTTCCCCCCCATTGAGACGGTGTTGTGTCATTCACAGCATTTGCATTCTACTTTCCTAAAACAACAAACATTACTGTAAATATGAAATGATATGGAAATATACACCGGGAAAATAACATGTTCCAACACCTGCCCTACTCCTTTTTATTGGACATGCAAGTCGCTCACTGGGTTATCATGCACAAAAAATGTTATCTGATCCCAGAATCACATTCATGAGAGCACACATTATTATGGGATGATGACATAAGGTATGACTGGTCTGATTGTTACACAGATAGCGAGCCCTTTTCTCGCTTTAATACGATGTCCATTAGCACTAGCTAAGCATTGGGACTTATTTCTGGGGTCCACACACTTACAATTAAACAAACCATCAGAACCAGAATCAGAAATACTTTAATAATCCCACGGGGAAATACATTTTTTGTGACAGTTGTTCCATTTTAGAATGAATAATATATAATAAAATAAAGAAATATAAACATAAGAAGTAAAAATATGGAATTACATTTAAAGTAAGATGTATAAACGTAAACAATTAAAGAAATATGTCCCGTAAAGATAAAATACAAATATCAGAATTCAAGTACCAGCACATTGACCAATGTTCTGGTACTTTGGGTGGGAGACATTGTCACAGATGATCCGTACCTTGGACAGCATCCTCCTATTATAAACACACTATTTCCACAAAAAACTAAACAAATTTGCTTATCTCCCCAAAAATTGAAATAAGAATAAAATGTTAATTCAATAATTAATGACATTTGCTCAAGAATTGATATCCAACTTACATTCATGATGTATGGTATTCTTTTGAAAATGGACGCTGTAATAAGGTCATGGTCATATTTTGTAAACCAAATGTAACTATTTACAGTAGAATTGCGTGCATGTTTACTGTATGCATAAAATGGGTAAGCTGAAGTGAGTGTAGTACATCTGTGTGAATGTGCATGCATGACGTACGTGTCAAACAGTGTGTGTTTGTGTGTGTGTCCTCACATATGTAGATGTGTGTTCCTCATCCCATGCCACTCCCAGTCTGAGCAGATGGAATGCCTGAGCACGACGGAGCATTACATCAGCGGCACGATTATTTCTGTAACCTGACACAAGCCTCTCCCTCTCTCTCTCTCTCTCTCTGTGCGCACACACACACACACACACACACACACACACACACACACACACACACACACACACACACACACACACACACACACACACACACACACACACACACACACACTCTCTCTCTCCCCCCGGAGAAGGAAGTGGTGTGTGTCGTTGATTAGGCAGTAAGGAAGCATCCCTCTTCCCTGAGCAGACAGACGCTCCTGCCTGCCATGCAAAGCACAGAGCAGCCACAGACTGATTAGACAGCGGAGCAATAAAAAAAGAGAAGTGAGCCTGACTGGCATGTTAAGTGAGGCCTTTTGGCGCTGGAGTCAAAATAATTATATCACCGTGAAATACTGATGGCTGCTCAGGCGTCAAGCGGATGCGTTAGAAGAGATGTACCGTTTTTCCCAAGCATGCACACAGCCCACAGGGGCGGGATGTTTACCAGCCATTTTTAGAAAATGCACACAGATGGCTTGAAATGTTGGCAAACACATATACATTTTGGGGGAAATTGCAGGTTTACAGCAAAATGTGCTCTTAAAAAGATCATTCGTTTTTGGATGCCTTTGAATGACCTCTATGACACATCGATAAAAAAAAATTCCATTTCCAAATGTTTCTTTCATCCTATCTTAATAATAATAATAATAATAATAATAATAATAATAACTTTATTTATACAGCACTTTTCAAACAAAGTCACAAAGTGCTTAACATGGATTAAGAGGCCGTTCAGGCATGCGGTCAAAATTCTCCAATTAAAACCTGTTTCACACCTTCCCCCCGGTACCGGGCGGATAAACGCGTCATTTGCAGGAAACAACGTCTAAGGAATCTTAATATTGAATAAAACTATGAATGTGTTATATCCATGTAACGGGAAGAAACTCAGCTAACTGATCTTTTTAATTTTTTTTTTCAAAAAAACCCCACAATGCTAGCACTCAGCCTCTGAATTAGCCTCGATCAAAAAAACGGGACCTACAAAGGCACATAAACTCACTCATAACTCCCTTATTACTTATCCTAGATGCACAGCCAACCACTCGTTTTTGGTGTCCTGGAGACACTGAATCTACCGGTGCCCACCTCAACACTCAGTGATAAACATTCGCGACGCTATCAACGAAAGCGTACATCATCACATGTGGAGCTAAGAAGCTAAACACGTAAATAGAGTGGCGAAGTCCCTCCCCTTCCGGTTGAGCCCCATGGGACCTTATTTCGGAAAAGTTATGCATTGAAGTCAATGGAGAGAGAAAGATTATCTTTCGATCCCGTTTGAATTGTGCCACGAATTACACATATGATGTTTGTCAATTTAAAAGATAATTTTGCAAGTCAAAAAAATTAAAATGTGTCGTAAAACTGTGAAGTAACACATTTGTTTGTGTGAAAGGCTCAATGAACTACATCTCTGGTCAACCACACACGTCACCAAGATGGCCGTCACTACTGTCTTGTCAACAAACGATTGACTATCACCACAATGAAACACGTCCTGAAGAATGTCATGCAAAGCCTGCCTTCCTTTGATTCTCTCTGAACTGCCTGGTCGTTTTAATGTTTAATGTCAACCATTTGTGCAGATAGCATGAAGTAGAAAAGATCGCCGATGCTAACGTTAGCGTTAGCATTTCTCCCCCGGAATTAAATGGTGTATTATAGAATGATCACACCGGTGACAGTACTATTCAAAGGGTTCACGAAATATGACTACTACTCTTACTGTTTAACATTTTGGGTTACTTAATGTTACTTCATGTTAAGGCTAATAAAAATGACAAGGCTGTAATGCTAACTAACGTGCTAGCTACTAGCTAGGTAGCTAACTTGATCAAGCCACTCCTGGTCGTTTCATCAGACGGGAAGCAAAAGAACGAGCAAGACCCATTGCTGGTATAATAACAACCTGGTACTAAGCACACAGGCATCTTGTTAAAGTTATCTTATCTTAGCCAGCGCCATATAGATAGATTATATCTATATTGCGCTGATCTTAGGTATCTGAATGGTGGAGGTAAACAATTGTGACATCACTTACGCGACTCTGGGATTTGTAGTCTTTCTAGTTACGTATTTTTCATAGTCTTATATTTCAACAGTTTTACGACAAACTGTGACTTTTTTGACATGGAAATGATTTTTTAAGATTGACAAACATCATATGTGTAATTCATGGCACAATTCAAACGGGATCGAAAGATAAGTTTTCTCTCCCCATTGACTTCAATGCATAACTTTTCCGGAATAAGGTCCCATACCCCGGAAGTAAGTGGGAGGGACTTCGCCACTCTATATGGCTTACCTTGGTCAAAAGTGGTCTTCAATGGCATTAAAACGATAAAAAAACGATGCTGCAGTTAATCCATAGGTTCATCCTATGTGTCTGTGCCTTCTTTGAAATTATTTCTGATAATCCATAAGCAATACAACTGCGTTTTAGTTTCCAAACTCCAGAAGGAGACATTCCTCCACTTTGGTTTCGTTTTCCACACGCGAAGCGCCCACATTATTTCTTTACAGCTTGTGTGGGTGTTGTCCTCCCCCTTCGATTCTATTGGCTCTAACGGTCACAAGGGTATGTCAACCAACCAAATCGAGCAAGGGGGGCCAGAGATAGGTCAAATCCACCCAAATGACCCCAGATGGCCCAGTTTTTGGCTAAATCTCTCTAAAAAGGTCAAATTTCACTTGTTTTGCATCAATCTTGATACAGGGTACTTATTATATGTTGTACTTTGGATTCCTAAAGCTTTTAGTCTACTAACCCATCATCCAAGGGTAGTTTTCACTATCTGTAAAAAATAATTTTTGGACGGACACTATAATTTACAGTTTTTTACTATGTAAAATCTGAATTTTCTTTAAAATAAAAAACATTTATATTGATTCTGACACTTCTACATCCAACTCACAGGTTTATCATTACTTTGAGAAAAAAGATTATTAATTTAACCCTTTTAGAAGGGAAGATATGGTCATTTGTTCTGGGAATGTCATTTTCGAGCCTGAGACCTGAAAAACAGGCTCAGAGTGGAACAGGATATACAGCGTTTCAACAATAGCAGCAGTAATACAAAAAAAGAAAGTAAAACAAATAGAACATGGATGTCGAGTAAAACAGAGTGGTGTCATCATTAGTTAAAAGCTTTAAAGGTCCCATATCATGCTTTTCTGGTTATTACCTGTCCCCTTGTGTGTTATGAAGCTTTTTATGCATGTAAACGGTGTGCAGAGTCAAAAACCCTCAAAGTACACCCTGTAGCGATTAAAACTCTAACACAGTCTAGCTGCCCCAGAACGCCTCGTTGGAGATTTCTCTTTTTCCATTGTTTACTTCTTGGGTATAGTGACGTATTTCGTTACGTTTGGACCAATCTGCGGACTTCCTCACACAGACACACTCGACGGGACGTTGCGAGGCTCGCTGCTGCGAGGAGCGGGACACTGTGAGCTGGCTCACTGGTGTGGGGTCGGCGAGACAGCGAGACACCGCGGAACTCAGCCTGGGAACACACACAAACTCCCAGCCAGGCTGCGGGTGTGTGTGTGTGTGTTTCGCGCTGGGTTTCGCTGTGTCTCGCTGTCTCGCAGACGGCCACTGGGCTCACAGGGAGGGGGGGGGCAGGAGCTCCAACAAGCCGTTTAGGACAGAGAGTGAATACACATACTGTACAGAGATGCTGTATGAGAAACCAATGTGAGTTTGGAAAATTGCACAATATAAATGTATTTTAGTATACCTCAACAATGGAATTATGATCAGTAGAAATGGCCATGACATGGGACCTTTAATGAAAAGGTGAGTTTTAGGAAGTGATTTCTTCATTTTGCTGGCCTCTACTGACCACGTAAGAACACTTGTTTATTTTATACTTATTATATAATGTCCTCTTTTCTCAGAGAAAATGACACCCCACGACCTGTCGACGCCCCCCTCTCCAGCTCTGGACCCGGAGGAGGTGCGTTTGAGGAAGATGAGCCGCAGGGCGAAGGTCATTCAGGAGCTGGTGCAGACTGAGAAGGACTACCTCACAGACCTGGAGCTGTGCATCAGAGAGGTGGTCCAGCCTCTACGTAACATGCAGGTAGATGATCGGTAGATTTTAGTATACGCCAATGAATACACTGGCCTAATGTGGTATTAACTCCACTAACCTCTACACAAAAGCAAAGAGAAGATCATTTTAAACAATGATTTCTTTAAAAAATGTAATCTGTAAGATCCAATGTTAATACTGAACTAGCTGCCTGAGGGAAAAAAGTTAATGTTTATCAGTGTTGCCTTTTTGGTTCTTTTTGACCAACTTCACAATATGATATATATATATATAATATGACACTGGCTCTGACCTTATTTTTAGCATTTCATTTCATTTAATCGTTTATTTGAACCGGGACAGTGCACATCGATGAACACTTTAAAACAAAACAATCCTTACAAGCATAAATGAGCCGGATTTTAGCTTTAAGCTAATTTCCATCTGCAGTCCCGTCACATACAACATACAAGAACATGACATTTATATACATAGCAAAAATAAATACATGACATGCAGGAAGCATACAAGCATTTACCACATGGCAGTACAATGTAGCAGCTACGACATATAAAGTGCAAGATAAGATAAAAGTGCTACCTAAAGTGCAAGAGGAGATACCCCTGTGTTAAAGTGCATTTAGCGGTGATTGCACGTCTGTTTGTTTCTCAACCATTCTCTGAGTTGACCTTTGAAGCTATTGAGAGTGGGACAATCCCGTATCTCAGTTGGGAGGCTATTCCACAATGAGCTGCCTTTAATGGAGAGGACATTTTGTCCAAAAGTGGTCCGTCTACGGTGGACTTCACAGTCTCCTCTGGTTTCTGACCCAGTGCATTAACACAAAGCATAACAATTACTGATTCAGACACTAAGATCATGAAAATCAATTAAAACTCTGAAATATATGATGGTATAATTAACATTGATTAAAGAGGACCTATCATGCAAAATGCACTTTTGTACGTCTTTTATACATGAATATGTGTCCCCGGTGTTCCAGGGAACTCACCAAGTGTCAGAAAACACAACCCTCTCTATTTTCCTCCATACCCAAATCTCTAAAAAAGGGGCTGCAACGGATCTGATAAAAACTGATCCAGATTTGAACACTGTCCTGACGTCAGGACAGTGGCGCTACGGCTATTGGGTCAACTCCACCAATCAGGAGGAGACAGAGACGGACATTGCCGTTCGAAAGCGCTGGAGACGCTGTAGTACATATGCCAGGCCTGTAGGTGGTGCTGTTCTCACAGAATCTGCCCTTACAAACACAGAGCTAAAAAATGTCAAATTGAGCAAAATGAGGCATGGCTAAAATGCATGATCTGTTTGGTATTTTGAAAAAAAAAAAGTATAAATATGCCTTATATAGGTATGGTCCTACACTATATTATTCAAATATAGCATGATAGGTCCACTTTAAATATTCAAAGAAAAAGGGTGGCCAACAGGATAATTATGTTATTGATAAATGGCAACTGACAGTGATTCAGGTCTCCTCATATGCACAGAAAGTGTACTTATATATATATATTTTTTTATTTGCACGTTGTTGGCATATACAGTATGTTTTGCATTATGCTGTTGTGCCACATGTATTGTTGACATTTATGTTTAGTGTTGATTTCTGTTTTGTTCTGTTATAACGTCTTGTGCGGAATGCTTTGGCAATACTATGTTTAAAATGTGGTCATGCCAAAAAGCCCCTTTGTATTGTATTGTATTGTACTTATAGCTAATTCTAATTTAGTTTAATTTGCACTGAGTTTTTATTTCCTTATCCTCTGTCAGGTTGTGGATGTAGACCGGCTGTTCACCAACACGGAGACGGTGTGTGAAGTATCTGCAGCTCTTCTTCACAGACTGCACAAGGCCATCGCTGACCCTGATCCCGAGGCGGTCGTCATAGGTAAGGCCATTTCTAACAAGATTTTATTATTTGTTGACTTTCACTGCTCTGGTTGATATTAACAATCTAATATCCCACTTTTAATTGTAGGGGAAATATTCATCCAGGCAAAGGCAGCTTTAGAAGATGTGTATAAGATTTACTGTTACCATCATGATGATGCTAACATGTCCCTCAAATCCTATGAAGAAAATGAAGAAATTAAGAAACATTTCACCACATGTGTATTAGCTCTGAAGTAAGTCACTACTTGTACTGTATATACTTTCAAAAATATGTATTACTTTTCTCATATTTGAAATATTATTAGTATAATCATGTTGGTGACTGTTTTTTTGCTTTGTAATTGCAGGAAAATCTACGACCAAGAGTAAGTACTTCTTTATAATGTTGTCACTTAAAATATAACGAACTGCATAAGAAACAGACAGCTTTTCAACTTTGTATAACCTGTCATGTCCAAGTGGTGTAATTGTGGTTGTCGCTGTCACAAAGACAATCTGATGGCTAGGGTTACGCTTAGGGTTAGGGTTAGGGTTAGGAGGAAACACTGTATTTGTTTCTAAACAAACTGCAAACACAGATATAGATAAGATATTTTCTTTTGTGTGGTTAGCATCAAAGCTACAGCTAGCTGCCTGTCTTCTGTTTTATTCCACTCCCTCTTGGCCTAATCGTCCACAGGGCTCTTTAGCCGGGTAGAGTTTCCACAGTGAACAATACTTTGGTTGTTCTGCTACCTTGGGATAGCGACTGTAGCTATTTTATCATGGTTCAAAATGCCCTCTGGTAGGCAGTCATGCAGTGTATATCATGTGTAGGGCCTTTATAGTGAAAGGTAAGGCCGACAGAGTTGCATTGTAAAAATAAGATTTATAGGGAACCGATTGTAATGCCGATGATGTCATTATTCGACAGCTGTAACCTTGTGCAATTAACGTTTACTTCACATTCATAATTAAAGCAAATGTTATCTATTGTAACTAATACATATGTTGTCATACAGTATGTTGACTGAATAATTTGTTGACTTGACAGTTGTTTTTGTCGTGATTCAGCCTATTGTTTAATTTTCTGAATCTCTGTCAAGAAAAAAGTAAAGCCAATACATTTTAAGTCATGGAAAAATAAATGTTGACTTTATACCGTAATCTTTTTGCAGAGGGAAACCCAACCTGCTGAACATGGGTTCACTGCTCATCAAGCCGGTGCAGAGGATCATGAAGTACCCTCTGCTGCTCGGGGAGCTGTGGCACGCCACGCCTCAGGACCACCCGGACCATCAGCCCCTGCAGGAGGCCTACACCGCTGCTAAGATCATCAACGTGAACATAAATGAGTTCAAGAGGCGCAAAGATATCGGTGAGATGTCATTAGGGTGCTGATCATTGACGTCTATTTATATAATAGTGTGATTTTGCTTCATGTGAGCTCAAATCAGGTCTATGACAAAGCTTTTCAGATGTAGGGCTGGCCTTACACATGCAATGTTGGTTGTCTGAAACTCTTTCTGTTCATTCTCAGTTATGAAGTATAAGAGGTTGGATGATGAAGGCACACTGAGGGGGAAACTGAACAAGTTCAACATCCACTCTATCCGGAAGAAAGGCGACAGGTTTGCAGGCTATCTCAAGATCCTCACTGGAGTAGAGCCACAGGTAAAATACTGTTGTTCCCTCCTCACTCACTTCACCACATTTAGTACATGTAAGAAAAGTCATGAGGCTTGTTAACTTAACACTTTGCATGAATATATTCTGTGGCCTAAAGGTAAATTATTTATACGCACATTGCTGCTTTTATGAAGTTGTAAGTAGTCTCGCAAGTAGAAACTCAAGATGTAGCATAATGCAAAGGCATATTTGGTATTTATCAACTTTTTAGTCAAGCTCATTTACTCTACTGTCTGTATAGGTGAGAGATGAAGTATTTGACCGAGAGGAGAAGCTGTTCAGGAGTCTGGAGAAGGCTGTGAGGCAGCTGGCCAAGAATGTCCAATTTTACCTGCTGCACATTCAGGTAAGTACAGATATTAGCATCTCTGACCACAAAGAGTGTGTTCTTCTAAAAGTTTCTGATGTGTGTTCTGCAGGAGATGGTATCTGTTGCTGTTCAGAAAGTCCAGGACATGGAGGACATGATTAAGGATCCAAACAAAAATGACATAAACGGCTCATTGCACCATAATGGAAATGACCCTTATAAGCACTTTGTAAGTTTGGCTGTTTTCTGTTCTTCACAACAGTGTCTCATTCAGGGTATAGTTAGCCTTCAAATACAGCTCATCTCTTTCATTTCTCAAAAATCCTGGTCTTGTCTGTCCATGCTTTGCTGTCCTGTTTCCTTCATGACCTCTCATTCACCTTCCAACTGTGAGTCACCTGTCCATTTTATTAATCCCCTTCTTCTCTGCCTCTAACCTTTCTACTCGGTCCCTTTATACATTTGCTACCTCCTCTTTCCTACACTCTTTTATCTGTGTATTGCATTGTCACCAGTTCTGGAATAACTATACTTTTGAACACAATTATTTGTGGCAGCTATTTGCTTTCACAAGATTTCCAAAATAAGTGTAGACACAAAGACATGTGTACTCCACGAAGAAAAACGACAGACATATCTCGTATGAAAATGGGTCCATTGTGTCAGCTGTAATGAAAACACCACAGCTGTAATGTGATAGATGCTGGAAGGGGACAGAACATTTTCACCAAAGAAACTGTTATTTTTACTTGACGTCTAGTACTACCCATTACATGCTGCGCACTATGATAGATGAAGTATGCTTAAGTCTCACAGTAAGCTGAATAACATCAACTCCTCTGGTTTGTGTGTATGCAAATCTAGCATCTCCAGTGTTATGTATTCCAGGTTAATGTAAAGCATACGTTACTGTTTCCCATCAGAGAAACTACTTGGCAATTAGAGGTGCTGCCGCATTCTAAAAACAATACATTTATTACAAACATCATATAAAAAGACACAGAAGTAGGGCTGTGCAATTAATCGTATTTTAATCGCAATTACGATTTTGGCCTGCCACAATTACGAAAACAACATAATCGAAAAAAACGATTATTTTGCTTTGCTAGGTTGTGACAGTGCACTGCAACATATTTGATCAAATGTATTTGTATTTATCATATTTATATATGTTTAGTAGCTTGTTGAAGTGCGCTCCAAAATATTTGTTGATTTTGTTTATTGGTATTTATTATTTTGATATTATTTATTTAAACGTAGATATAAATGTATCATTTATTTTTGTATTGGTTTTTCAGTTGAATTATACGCTCAGGGAAATCAACAGTTAAAAAGATACTGTTCAAATCATTATTTGTATTTAAAAGTTCAATAAATGGATGTTTTCAAAGTCATGAATAATCGTATTTAATAATCGTGATATAAATTATTCACCAAAATAATCGTGATTATGATTTTTGCCATAATCGCACAGCCCTACACAGAAGTACACTGAAAGTACATTTTAACATGTACAGAATGCATACTATGTAATGAAAGAACTTGTACTTGGTGTCTTTATTCATCTTCTGCTGCCTTTTCGACGTCTTCCCGCAGAAAGACAGTATGGAGCGCTCGGTCCTCGCCCCCCTCTCCTCCCTGCAGGGCATGTTCACAGCCCCACAGAAGCTCATCCAGAAGCGCTATGACAAATTACTGGATTACTGCAGCCGCCTGGAGCGCTCTTCCTCCTTTTCATCCTCATCCTCGTCGTCCCCTACTTCTTCCACTACTTCACTGGCGTCAGAAGACCCGCCCGGTCCCGCCAAAAGGGACTATGAAGCCATCAATGCTCTGCTAGTGGAGGAGTTGGAGAGGTTCAACAAGGCAGCCTATCACATCCTGACCAACTGTGTGCTGCACATAGTGACCCTGCTCAGAGGGCTGATGGATAAAATACTACTTCGTGCCCCGTCCATACAGCAGCTACCGGTGAGGGTCCCACGTATAAATCACATTCAGGTATTATCAAATTGTCTGTTTTATATTGAAGCTAAAATGTGTTTGTCGTTTGAAGGCGCCATTGTCAAACATTACTGAGGTTCAGAACAGCATCATGGATGAGCTGAACAATCTGACTTTTGTCAATGATAACGCTCAGAAGTTGATGGAGCGAAAAGTCAGCTTTGAGAGACAACGAGACAAGAAAATAACGGTGAGAAAGTTAAAATAATAAAGACTCAACTTTACAAAGCCTAAACTCTGTATTTTTAAGATTCGTGGTTAGTAAACTGATCTGTAAATGTCTCATTGATTGCATGTTAAAACTTTGAATATAATTCTCTTTTTGACCAATTACAAGCCAAGAATGAGCAGCTATAAGTATTATCAAACACAAAAAAGGAAAGAGCTCCAGGCTGTGATTAACTGGGGAACTTGGCAATCCAAAGTCATCATCAATCCCCTGACACTTAAATGTCCACATGTGTAGGTGTACACACACATATATATAGACACATATGAGAATGTGCTTGTGCTCGGACATGAAAGTGGCTGTATTTGAATCTCCTACCCCCGGGTGCCTATTACCTCGGCTCACACACAGATAACCAACAACATTCCTACATGTGCCCACACACCGGGCCAACTTCAAATAATTACACTCTTTGTATCCAGGTGCCGGAGGTGCAGCATCAAAACGAGGAACAGCGAGGCTGGCTGCTGGCAGAATATCCAACGAGCCATCTGTACCTGCTGAAGAGGAAGTGTAATGGCTGCCAGGAGCAGGACCTCAGCCTGCTGGAGGGGGAGCTGGTGGCCCTGCTGGAGGACACGGACCCTCTGGGCAGCAGCAGCCGCTGGCTGGTTCACACTGGAGGCAAGTATCTGTAGGGGGGGGGTGTGTGTGTGTGTGTGTGTGTGTGTGTGTGTGTGTGTGTGTGTGTGTGTGTGTGTGTGTGTGTGTGTGTGTGTGTGTGTGTGTGTGTGTGTGTGTGTGTGTGTGTGTGTGTGTGTGTGTGTGTGTGTGTGTGTGTGTGTGTGTGTGTGTGTGTGTGTGTGTGTGTGTGTGTGTGTGTGTGTGTGTGTGTGTGTGTGCGCAAGAGGACAAAGACCCGCGGGGCAGCAGTAGCTCTTAACACATTAAGTTAGTAAGACACACACTGTAATTGAAGTTATAGAGGTATGGTAGGTCTCCTTTAATACATATTCCTCTGTGAATACACCTGCATCTATGGCTGTGTACACACACCAAACTTTACTTTCGGAAAGTGACAAGTCAGCACACAAGAATCAGTCCCAGGAGCCCCGGGGTGTCAGTGTTGCCTCTCCGCCTGCCTCTGGAGATGGTTGCCTCACAACAGGCCCTTCTCCATAGCTTGTCTCCATCTTCTCTTTACGAGAGGCACATGAGATCCCGATGTCTTGTTTGGAACAAACCACTGCACGTTGGAAGCAGTGTTACCTAGAGTACAAAGCCTCTCCCGATGGGAATTCGGAAACAAGGACGGAGAGATGACGCCTGCGCGCCTCTGTACTCGGCAATAACAAGTTCTTTTTTATGAGCTCTAGAAAAAAAGAGTGTGTGCATGTTCTTTCAGACAAACTACATTCTTCACACACTTGTCCTGTCCTCTGGGATTACTAGCATTCCCAGGAAGCTGTTATTGTTCAGCCATCTGTTCTGATATCAACACTATAAATATTCTTGCCTTACATTTACACATTATTCAGTTCACTCACATGGATTCAACGTTGTGTAGATTATGCTTACAGTCTTAATGTAAGACCCGTACATTAAACACACATTTATCCTCCTGAGATGGTGCAAATTAATTTTTCTCAAGCAGCTTTTTTAAATACCAACGTAAAATGTCTTATCGGTTACATTTGTTCTGTAATTGCCTTACTGTTTGTCATTCAAAGGCTGGTTTTACCCAAATTACAAAATGACTGGGGGCAAGTTTTGTTGTTAGCTGTCTGGATTCAGTTTCAACAATACATTAACCACATAAACTTTACCCAGGACTGGAGAACGTTCTGAAAAGAGATGCTGTGATGATCTTTCAGTGGATTATGTGTCTCAAGGAGGATATGCATATCTCAAAATATGAACAATTAGCTGAACCAACCCTTTAATTGAACTGTCTCTTTGTGTCACTGATAGGTTCACAGGGCTACGTGTACTCCACCTTCCTGAAGCAGTACAACCCTCTGAGGGATTCCCAGAGGAAAAGCAAGATGGCCAAAGAGCAGCAGCAGCAGCAGCCGGCGGCCATGGTGGACGAGGACTTTGACGACATCAGCCTCTTCGTGTCGGGCAGCGGCAGCAGCAGCCTGCGCAGCTTCAACCTGAACACCACCGACAGCGGCTCCACCCTCTCCGGGTTACAGGGGGAGTCAGAGAGTCCCGAGGACCTGGAGGACACCTCGGACGCAGAGGCTCAGCAGGTGTGTGGGGTAGCATGAGTGTGTCTTTCATTTTCAGTTATTGCAGTGCTTAGAACTAAAGAAATTGAAATAAAAAGTCTTATTTCTGCTCATTTTGGCTTCTCATATTGAGAACAGATGAGTTCAGGTATCTCAATTCATCAACAGTTGCATACAAACCACATACCTCAAGCCCATGTGCATAAATGTGCAACAAGTTTGAAATAAACTAAAAGTATGAAGGAAAATAAGGGACACAACTAAAAATACTTTAACCCCCACACAACATTGACCTCATTATAATAATAAAAATAACAGCTCAGCAAGCCAAGTAACTTTAACTGCCTATAAGTGTCTCCTTATATATGAGACTCCACCTGTAAAAAATAAGGGTTATTCTTTCAAGTGGCCATTAAACTGAGGTGAGCAGTTACAGGCTGGAGGAGCAGGGGCTCACTGTCTGCCCACTTGATAGCTTTACAGTGGCTGTCCAGCTCACATTGATTTTTAATTGAGCATTAAATGATGACAGCACTGTCACCCTGGCTTCAAAACTAAGGCTTGTGGTCAAGTCTTCATCAGCTATGACTCTCTAATATGACTCCAATCTTCATAACATGACAGTTATTGGTTTTGAAATGTAAAATGTTGACAAGGGTCAGTAGACTAGCTTGTAACCAATACACATTAAGACTGGTGGTAACAAAATACACATGTGGAAAAGCTGATAAACAGTGCCACCTTCTGGATTTAAAGGTGGATACACTTCATGTATTCTTTAATGACATCATTGCACATAAAGATTTACTACAGTTTAATTTGTGTATAGAAAAAAACAACTATTGCTGTCACATTTTTCAAACAGTATAAACGTTTTTTCCCCAGACTTCATCTAATTCATGTGTTTTCCCACAGTTCTATGCTGTGTATGCGTTTCAGGCGCGCTGTGACCAGGAGCTGACCCTGCAGGAGTACCAGCACGTCCGCATCCTGAAGTTCTCAGACCTGGGAGGCAATAAAGACTGGTGGTTAGCTGAGGCTAACGGACAGAAAGGATACGTCCCTGCTAACTACCTTGGCAGGATGTCCTATGCATAAGAAGGAAAACAATCCATGAAGAAAACCAAACCAAAAACCAACCTGTGGCAATTAAAACAAACATGTTTACAGTTTAAAGAAATAATGAAATAGCTGTAAAACATGTTGCATTACTGCTTTGCAAGAGTCAAATTAGCCCTAGGTATCTATGTCTCATACCAACAGTGTTGATGTTTAGCCTTGAGAAGCTCATATGAGCTCAGCAATAGGACTTGACCTATAATCTGTGATGAATATAAATAATGGTAGGAGAACACAAGGCACTGTGCCGAGCACTTTTTCTACTTCAGTGTTGTAGAGTTTATATCAAAATGAAGTGATTTATACATGAAGTTAATTTTAAATGTGAATTGATTTACAGATGAAGTAAATGTTATATGTGAAATGAAGTATATATATATATTTAATGTGAATGTAAAATGAAGAAATCTATCGTCATGGTTTATATTTTAACAATTGTCTGGAATAAATATGATCTGTTCTCCACTTGTCCCGCAGAATATAATGATTCAAGAACACAACACAACAAGTCAGTTTTTAAGAAGAGATTTATTGACGTTTGTGATAAAAAGTGACACTTTTAAACGGTTAAACTAGTTATGACATAAAGAAGTACAATCCAGTAGCATTAACACAAAGTAAGTTCAAGTATTTGACTGGATGGTGTAACTCAAGTACAAATGATATTTTGAAACAAACAGAAAGATCCGGCACTTATCCACATCGTTTAAACGTTTATTTTCTACTCCCTCCCACCTTCAGTTCCCTCAACTCATTTCTTCAGCTTCTTCTGCGCTGCTTTCTTCTTCACCTGTTGTAACCGTTTCATGGCGTTAAGCTGGGACTCTTGGGACGTCGGTGCTTTCTCCCCGGGAGCAGCCTTCGACCCGTTCCCATTGTTCCCGTTACCTCCTCCGTTATTTCCCCCGTTCCCTGCTCCGCTGCTGCCGGGGGAGCTGGACCCCGACGCAGGAGACCCTTTGGCTGGGCCTTCACCGCTGGATGAGCGATTCAGCGGCTGCTTACCCAGAGTCAGGGGGGGCGGAGGTTTAAGAGGCGCCGCACTAGAGCCGTTTCCATTGCCGCTCCCGGGTGTTTTTGCACTCCCGAGCCCCGATTTGGCTCCTGCTAGCCCAGACAGCCCGACAGGTTTCTGGCTGGAGGGAGTGGTCAGGGTCTTGTGGCTCCCACTTGGACCAGAGGACCCCAGTTTGGAGCTGGCAGGAAGAGATGGGCCCGTTTTGGCGCCAAACGCAGCCCACCCTGTGAGACCGCTGCCTGCCGTGGAGGAGCTGCTGTTGGCCGGGTTGGCCGATGTTGTGGACGCCTGAAATTATAAACAGCACAATTATCACAGTGCAACCGAAATGTACAGAGCCTTATATTTCATTGTTGTATTTCTATAATAATATTGAAAGTTATGTAATTGAGACTTTAAGATGATACCAAAATTACAGAAGTCAAACACTAAAAAAATGTATTATATATTAAAAGATGAAAGCACTCAATAAAGCCTTTGGGCCCGTGGGAATACTTGAAATCTCAACAATAAGGTAAGGAAATCTTTTATATTAACCATAGGTAATTTACCACTTTGAGGCAAGAGGGATATACCAACTTAATTGATGTAAAGACGGAGCTTTGTTATCTCTTCTACTACTAGGTTACCAAGAAATACGTGTAGGGCCACCGTGAAAAAGGAGCCTTGCTTGACTACAGTGTGACACAGGGGCACACATAGTAGTGGATCAAAAAAGGCCGCAAACAGTGATAATTATTGAACCCATACCTTCACTTCGGTTCTTTTGAAGGCCTGGAAGGAGCTGGCTGTGTCCGGCTTGGCTTTAAGCTCCGTCTTTTTCACCAGTGTGTCTTTTACAACGGGCGCTGAGGATGCAGATGCAGGGGACGGCTTCTGAGCAGGCTTTGATGCCTAATGGACAAACAAATACAGCTTGTTATAAACGGAAGAAAAACCTATTCAGAAACTACTAATATGATTGTGCACTGATTAGTCACATTAAAAAGCCCATATGAGGTAGACGACAAAATATTATTTATGTTCCTTACCATACGCTTCATCTGCCTGGTGCAGCGGGCACAATACCACACGAGCCGTGGATCATTCACTTCCTTGTCGGTCACTTGGGGCTTGTGACAGTCCTGGTGGTACAGGTTATGGCACTCCTGGCACTCCACCAACTGGTTTCCCATGGTCACTGTCATTTGCCTTTTGTATTTAAAACACAAAATCAACATTTGAATGTGTATTGAACAGCATGTTATTACCGAGGTTTAACTGTCCATGCTGAAAGATAAATTTACAACACTGCAATTATTGTATTTGCTAATAATTAAGATGTACCTGCAAACCACACACGCCAGACCCATCTCCATGGCAAAGTCATCGGCATTGGTCTCATCGTAGTCGTTTATGTTTGGCAGAAGGTCTTTGCTGGTTTGAACGGTAATTGGAGAAGAGCGATTCTCCTGTTTCTCCAAACGAGGCTTTTTCGGAGGGTCCACTTCCGCCAATTCAACCCTGACCTGTTTGTCAGTAAGACAAAAAGAGGCATCAGTGCCATACGTAATGAAAACATCATGGCCTTGTAGCCACCTTGTGTATTATTATACTGTGGAATTGGGCATGCTTGTCTTTATTTATTCCATACCTTCTCAGCAGGTCTCTTCTCTGCCTCCTTCTTGCTCTTTTCGGAGCTGGATTTGCTACTGCTACTGCTGCTGCTAGAGGAGGAAGAGCTGGAGGAGGACTTGGAGTCCTGTTTACTTAAGCTCAGTTTTGACACAGACCCCTTGGACACTTCTACATCCTGGGGACACAACATGAGAATACAGAAAGGTTAGCATTCCGTTTTATAAAATATATACCAAATCAATTAGAAGAGAAATGAACAATATCAACAGGACATAGCATGATAAAAACAAAATGAAATCCTTACCTTTTGTAATGAACGGTAAGATGAGTCACTTCCTCTTGAAAGGGATTCATCAAGTAAAGCTTTGAGTTTCTCAACGGAGTCTTTACTCTTGGAGTGCAGGTAGCCGAGTCCCTTTAGGAAGATGGGATCCAGCTCCAGACTGACTGGTCCAGCCATAGTCAGAACTGTGAAATATAAAATAATATCAGTTGTTTAGGGTTAAGCAATCTATTTATTAATACCATTGCTGAGGAAAATAAGTAAGGTCACACAAAATACAGATTTCTGAAATATAAAAAGACAGAACCAAAGCTGTAGCTGCCATTTAGGTATTGCAGTGTTAGCTTGGACTGACACTTAACCTGGCTGAGAGCTTCAGGATTATTAAAAGTCAAAAAACAACATATTGATTCAAAGAACAAAATTGATTTTAAAGAGACAGTTGCTACAGTCTTTACAACACAGCACCACAGTGTAAACAAAAGGCTTCTTACATAGACAGCCTCCTTATTGGAATTACTTAATGCATGATTAAAATACGTGTTAGTAAATGTCTCTGTGTTTCTTCAGTGTAGCCTCACCCAATCTAGTCTGTGTCATGTCATGTAACCACTGTTTTTGTAGTTGGGATATGTGCACTCATGACCATAATTACTTATAATGATTATCCAAAATTCACAGATCTAAACTGAAATCAGAGGAGACGAGGGTAGAAAGAGGGAAAGGCCACAGAGTGGGGCCCTGAAGAGATGGAAAGACAGGGTTGATCAGGATTGTTGTGTTCACTATGATGTTTAAATAACACCTTTGTGATGCACTGTGTTGTCGGATCTAACCGGGACCAATAGGTTGACATCACATGTATTTATTGTCCTGAATAAAAGAAAAACAAACCTTGAAATGGTGTACATTTGGTTAAACGCAGAGCACAGGAGCTACAGTTACCATCCCCGTCAGATGTCAGTTATAAAACCAAATACACGTTATAATTTAAATTAAATTACGTTACCTCACAGTCTGCTTCTGGTAAAAACCTGCTCCTTTTACCCGATATTTTATTGTTAATGAGCAACTGACGTTAACGGTTGGGCAACACTTCCTACATGAGAAACAGCCGGGGCGGGCGCAACCGCTTAATATGTCCGGAATCAACAGGCGCGGAACCTTACCTGGAAACAAAAGTTATCTAACTTTACGCTCTACGTGCTATGTGCAATGGTGTATGTATGAAGAGAAAAATGTATGTAGCTTACATATTTCTTATTTCTTATTTAATATAGCGCGTTGATTGGTATATATCGGGAAGAAGCCGGGACGGGCGCAACCGGTAAATATGTCCGGAATCTACTGGCGCGGATCCTAGTTTGAAACTCCTTAAAACATGTGATATAACTTTACACTCTACGTACTATGTGTAATAATAAACCATGCATATATTAAACTATTTTAATATGGCGTTTTGATTTGTATGTATACGTTAATTAGTATTAATTCGTAAGTTCCGACAGCAGACAGGTGATGGCGCTGTGGTGCTATCCTAGCTTTAGTTGAAGGAAAGAAGAAGCACACCACAGGAAGTAAAAATATCAACGTGCCTTTATTTTGATATCCGACATTAGTTCATCTTGCTGAAGCTGTTGTAAGTATCTCTTAATGACATTTGTGATGCCGTATGATAAATGGTATTTCCGCTAACATGTTCTTGCTGCCATTGTTACTGATTGTCAGAGGAGGTTTCATTAACTTTGAAGAATAATTAACTCCTCCAGGCTGCATGTGCACTCATTTGGTCAAAATGTAACAAATGCAGACCTCTAATATTATATTATATTTTTGCTGTATTACAAACATCAATTGTCTTGTGGGTAATGCATACAATACAAGTATTAACATCCAATCATTGTATATAGTAGCAGGCAGTCCATGCCCCGGAGGGACGTGACTAAAGATAGCTTGTAAAAACTGTGCACCCCCATCTCCTCCTCTCCACTCATTCCAGCAACTACACACTAACCAAAGGTCTAACACAAGACACAGGACAAAATCAGCAAGAGATAAAGATACAGACATCTTTAACAGAGCATAACAATTATAACTAAGGAGGGTCACTATTAGTGTTGTAAAACTGAAAAGTGTTTTCTGTCCTGGCTCAGAAATGGTTGTACCATTGATATCATAAATGTATAAGATATCAGGACAGCAGAAAGTTTACTAATCTTCTGTCACAGATTTAAAAAAAAAAAAAACACCCCTTTCTACTGCAAATTGGCCAATATAAAAAAACGTCTAATTTCTCTATGCAGCATTCAGAAAAGTTTGGCTTTTTTTTATGCCAAGCAGCAGCACTTATAAATGTTTGGCTTAGTGAGAACTGATGATCTTGCAGAACGTTTGCTCTTTTAAGTTCATATCTTCATGGTTCATTTAATTTATGTATGTTGCTTTGGATTAAAGTGTCAGCTAAATGAAATGAGATGTACTAACCTTTCTGAACCACTTAATGAACCATTCCTGTTGTATCGACTGGCATCTATACAAAGCCACTAACCCATACTGTTCCCTCTTTTTGACTCCACAGTACTATTTACCATGAAGCAGACAGAGGCCCTTTATCTCGAAGTTTCCAGCCAAAATGAAGAGCCATGTCTTCCTTTGCACACCTCCATCACCCTGTTTCTCCTGTCCTACTGCGAGTGCAAGTCTTTCAAAGTCTACCTGGTCTTCACTAAACCTGAAAGCTCCCAGTCCCTGAAGAGTCGGCTGCCAGAGGGTTTGGACGTGTCTCACATTCAAAGAGAGGACTTGCCCCTGTTGGTGAGGGGCTGCCGCCTGCCTGCTGCTCTGGATGAATCCGGGATGCTCTGCAAGGCCGGGCTGGCGGTGGTTCTGAGGCACATCATCAACAACACACTGGAGGCGGACCCTTCCAGAAAGGATGTGTTGGCTCTGCTGGGATTCAAGAAGACCTGTCTGAAGGCCTGTGCTGAGGTGAGAGGCGAGCAGGGACACGCATGACCTAAACACAAGTCCATAACATCGGTTTACACTTAGCATGGGTCATAGTGGGGATTCCAGCAAAACCTGACCTACTTTATAGAGAAGGTAGCTTTGTAACTAAAGCTACAGGTCAGTTTATTGTGAGACTGACCTATGCATTACATTACCCTTTTAAACTGAACAACACTCACTCAATGTCTGCAGGGGTACAGCAACATCATGATAACACTACTGCTGACTCCAGATTTAATTTATGTATTTATTTAAACAAGGACCATGCATGCAAATACATTAATCTCAGAAAAGAGAAGAGATTATTTATGTCCAGAATTGGTCACACATTGATCGATTAAAATTGAACAAAGGGTCTAAGGTTTTTGACAGGATAGTCTAATTACCACTAACCTAATTCTATATGTTACAAAAATCCCTACAAAGTATCTTGCAATTCATCGGAACTTGGTTCTCATCATGAGACTAAGACTGCCTTCATTTCTTTAAATTAGATTTGTATTTAAGTCTTTTTTAGAAGGGAGATCTTGCCAAGAATAGCAGCATCTTATTATTTCTCATGTATTACTAGTTTATTCTAGTTTTCTAGTCAGTGCACAGTAGTTCATTTGAACATGCAAAATGGAAAAATGTGTCCACAGGCAAAAATACATCGCAACATGGAGAATACTTTAGGATGTAAATGAAAAATCTATGAATAATTAGTTGGGTTTCATTGGGGAAGACCCTATTAAGAGTGCCTTCAACTGCTTATTAACTCACATGTGAAACATATATCAATTAATAATTGTCTCATTACTTTTCCCAGCATTTACTGGTATCGGGTAACAAATTATAAAAGTTATTCAACAGATAATTCAGAGGAGATGTATTACCACTGCTTGTTGTTCAGTGACTGTTAAATGTATTATATTAGCAGTTTGGAGTCTAAATTAACTTTTATTTTTCTGTAGTAGACCACACAGAACATGATTTGGGTCTATTTGATTTATTTCACTTTCAGCATGTCAATTAGGGTCTGGGTTAGTGTCAGCAGCTTTCTACTTTTGATGGACAGCATTATAACATGTCACAATAACAAACTGTTTTTTTTTGTGCTCTTTTAAAGACACTACTGTATTTGACCGTAAAACATATTTTCTTTCCTGCCTTAAAGGTGAGCAAGTGGACCAGACTGTGTGAAATTGGCATCCCCTCTGCTGTTGAAGAACACCTCAAAGACCCCACAAATCAATCGGAGCAGCTGCCTCTCTCCATCCTCACCCTGGAGCGAAGGCTGCCAGCGCCTGTCAAAGTCCACAATGATGACAAGATACGGAGGCAGAAGCTCCAAGAGCAGAGAAGGAATGAGAAAAATGAGTCCCCTGCAGGGAACTCAAACTCTGAGTCTGAGCCGGTCCAACCCCCTCAGGACGGAGATGAACTTGAGCTCAGAGCAGCTTTGGCCAAACTGTCAGTGGATTCAGTTCCCACGGCGACCACCAGAGAGAGCTGTGAGATCAGGAAAGTGAAGACCCCACACCTGCCTCTGCTGCAGCATGTGTTTGCTGAAGGACTGTACTTCACTCTGACGGATGTGGTGCTGCTGCCATGCATCCATCAATACCTGGTAAGGGCCTTGGAGTTTATGATTCATGGTGTTGTCAGTATTGAATCTTTTTGGTTAAGAACCGTGCTCCTTTTTCTGCCTCGAGTATCGCAATATTTACATTCTTAAATCCACAAGTCAAATGCCCTTTTAATGTTAGTTAAAATAGCTATATCTTTTGTATTATTCTTCCACTTTCAATGCACTGACACCCTGTGAACTTTATAACTTTTACTGTAAGCAAAATACAATTATTGTGCCGTGGGCAATCAAGTGTAGCCATGCAAGGAGTTGTCTTTCAAACACAGTAGCACACATGACTGAAATTTCATTTCACCCCATAAATATATATATATATATATATATATATACACACATAAGGGTAGCATGAATGTCACGATATATATATATATATATATATATATACACACACACATAAGGGTAGCATGAATGTCACGATATATATATATATATATCGTGACATTCATGCTACCCTTATGTGTGTTTACTGACTTATTAAAGCCTTTATTATGATGATTGGCAGAATTATGCATGACTTTACACTCGGGTCAGGGTGAGCAGGCAGTGCACCCAAATGTTTTCAGATCCATCCAGGCAGAAACTTGAGTGAAGAAGACTCGCTGCTTCGCACTTGGCACAGGTTGAGCTCTCAAAGGTGGTCCAGAGAGACACCTGGCACACAGTGATAACAGTGAAGGGAGGCTTTCTATTTATATGCAGCAGGTTGATAATGCATTTCCATGACTTTCCTTTGGGTACCTTTTTTTTTTGAGGTAGGTGACCTTAGAGTGATAAATTAAATAAAAATACTGCAAGCTTCAAAAAATCATTTTCTGTTTATTCATCACACAACATAATGGCATATTTTACAAGTTGGCAGGACTAATTTAATAAAAATCCGAATTGGGATTATTGCCAAGGAGATTTCACATGCAAGGAATTTGCTTTCGTGAACAGGGATGCATAATACACATAGTGAGATAACATGTTTTATGGGGCAAACTATAGAAGTATTACAAAAACTATAGTTTTATCAAAACTATTGTGCATATCTATATTATGATTTAAAAAAATATTTTCTATAAATATATGCTTTCTCTTATTTATACATATATTTATATATATATACTGTAAGTAATTTGTTTCTTAGTTTGTATTCATGTGTAATGTCTTTTTACATGCTGCTGTAATGATAAAGTATACAGATTTAGGATTTAAAAAGTATATCTAATATAAAAATGTTTTTAAAAGTCCAACATTTTTCTCGAAATGTATAAAAATGGATATGACAAATCACTATAAACATTTTAAATCAAAGTGGAGGAGCTGCACAGGTTTTAAAAAGTGTAGGTATGGTGGTAATTAGTCTCTGCAGCAGCGACCATGGAGTGTCACAGCTATTTAGTTAAACGTATATCGTTATTGATCAGGAGTGCTGCACTGTCAGGCACTTGAGTGGGTCTCAACCTCCATTTCACCCTTCAGCCGCCCTCAAACTGTTCCTCGACTGTGGGAATGAACTGAAGTTCTCACAATGAGGCTTTTAGTAGTCAGCTGTGCTCCACTGGTTTCCAGTTTCACACTCAGCCTAGCGCGTCTCCTCTCAGCGGCCATCACTGTCCACGATACACGACGGACGCTTTCCACTGCAGCCACTTGTCATACTCTCTCCCTCTATGTTCCTCTTTCTCTTTCTTCTGTCTTCCACACACAGTTGCCCACAGTGACAGGCGCCTCTGATCAGGTCTCTGTTTGTGTCTTTACCCTCCCCACCTGCCAACGCTGCTTTAAGTGTTTTGACTGCCGGCCCCTCGTGTCCTCCCGTCCCCCATCTGTGAAGAGTGAATTCTGGTGGAACCTGACATAACGCTCCACTGGAGATGACATGTCAGATGAGTCACTTAATCAATATCTCCTTGTTTTCTTTCTCTGATAGTGTTCTCTCCAAGCCTATGCTGCGAGCCTCCTCCATCAGATCCCCCACCTGCTGCGATGGTACAGCCGTGTTCAGGAGGTACCCGGGGTCCTTCGCGCAGCAAAGGCCTGTGGGATTGCTTTTTGCACCCCCCAGGTTCCCACGTCCAGCGCCCCAGGGCCTTCAGCAGAGAGCAACCCTCCGAGCCTATTGGACCAGGAAGAAGATCAGGAGAAGACCAAGCAGCCTCCCTTCATCGGTGGCCCCAGACCCACCATGACTAAACTCAAAGTAAATAATTACAATTTGTTACTTATTCCTCATGTTTTACCTGCCTGGTCATTTACTCACACACTTCTGTTAGTTTCAAGATGTCTCCCAGTGTTCCTCTTCACCACCTGCTTGTTAACTATTATCCCTTTCATTTCATGTGCCCATGTTCTGCTGATTGTGCCTTCAAGAGAGTAGCTCTTAGTTAGTGTTTCTGCTTTTGGCATTCCTTCTCAATTGTCCATTTCTTCCTCTTTCTGTCAGTGCTTAAGTGCTTTCTAGTCTCAAAATTAACATTTTAAGTGTTTGACTGCTTGTCTGTAAACTTGGTTTTCTTCTCACAGGGCTTGTTTTTAATGTGTTGATCAGTAAAGACAACAAAATCAACCCGTCTTAAAAGAATAATAGAATCTGTTTACATCAACAGTATTGTGCTGCCATTATAAAATGCAGCATTGAGTATTATCAGCACTTTCAGCCTATCCTCATTTCAGGTGCAATAAAACCAATGAATCCAGTCTCAAACTAAACAAAGTTTTATAGCCAGACCCAGTCGTTTATGTAATGGCCCAACTTCTTAGTGTAAAGAGACACAATGGCACACAGTAATAGCATAAAATGTCCAAACTACTAAAATGCAGTTCCCTCAGGTAGCATTGGTAAGACATACACACTCAGTCCCACACATTTATAGCGTTCTTAGCTCCACAGCAAACACTGCGCCTGCAACATTTTTTTTCTGCTAGCTTTTCCAGAAGGAGATAAGCGGGCCCAGCTGTTTTTAAAAGGAGAAAGTCTCCTCAGCCCTGACTAACCTCTCACTGCTAAGCCTTCAAACTGTTCTCTTGGCTTTGTCACAATGCTCTCTCAGCAGAGATATGTCTGTGATTTCCTGCTGGCAAAGTGTCTACAACAACATGACTTTTAAGTGGCGGGAAGAGATGACGAAGAGAAAGCAGTATTTTGGAGAGTTTGAGTGAGGAGCTGGGTGGTCAGGATGGGATGTGCTATGCTACCGGATTAAATTCAGCTAGGCACAGATGTGCACAAATGACAGTTTGCATGGCAGGTTGAAATCAGACATTAAAACGGGAAGGAATGTACACACACACACACACACACACACACAATGGCCACCATTCTTTCTTAGCCTAGAGGGATTACAAGGATGGCTGCGTGTCGCCACCATCATGTCTGCACTGCAGCTGTTGTCTTGGCCAAGGTGTGTGTGTGTGTGTGTGTGTGTGTGTGTGTGTTCGCATATGTCATATTTGACTGTGTGCGTCCCGGGGCAAGTACATGGAGACAGAGCGCTCTGCCGTCTCACACCGTGACACGCGATCCTTCACTGCTGCTAACCAGAGGCACCAGGCTCATCCGGCCTCTCTCTCCGAAATATAAATGGCTCGTAAACTCTCCCTCTTTTCTCACTTCAGTTCACACACGCTGATGCATGCCAGTCAAACGGCCTGCTCAATGAGCTGTGTACACACAACCTGTGATCCGAATGTAAACAAAAGAGTAACCCTGCTACCAAAATGCAAGACCCGAAGGCTTCTGTCACTGACAGTGATTAATGGTTCTTTAAATGCTGTTCGTAACGTTAGACACATTTTCAATCTGTGAAAGCAGTAAAATACGAGGGTGGTCTAGAGGAAAAGGGATAGTGAGTTAACAGGAGTCCAAATTCAGGGACATCTGGGGTTTTCTGTTGGCAAGTCAAGTCAATTTATATAGCCCACTATCACAAATGTGCCCCAGGCGGCTTTACAATCTGTACAGTTTACGATTCCCTCTGCCTTTTTCGATTTCACTTTCGGATAAACCCCCAAAAACATTTGAATAGGGCAAAAACAATGGAAGAGAACTTGGGGAAGAGCAACTGGGGAGGGATCCCTCTCGATAAAATGAACCCTTATTGATCTCCGTAGTAAAATTCAGGTGTTGAAGCAGCGACAGGAAAATGATTGAAACACAGGATAGGACAGGGAAGAGAGATACAAGGACAAATAAAAAATAACAATCAACTGTTTATATTTATACAACTATAAGTATTGAAATATATATATATATAAATGTCTGTATGCTAGTGCAACTCTTAAGTAGGTACACACGGTACAGGTTGTTACGCTTTTAAGTATTTTGTGGGGGTAAAGCCTTGATTGTGGAGCCTGATGGATACGGCAGGGTTCTTACGGTCATTAAAAACCTGGGAAAGTCATGGAAATTCAAAATGCTAATTCCAGGCCCTGGAAAAGTTATGGAAATGTAACTAAAGTTGCGTCAAATATAATTGATATTATATTTAATCGCCCAAATAGTAATACTATAACGATAATAAATACTGTATCGTATAGTAATGAAACGTAAAATGGCATTTAACTGACGAGGTATTTTGCTGGTGAGAGATTTTAGTTGCTTTAGCGTGTAGAAGCTAGTAAGCCTACTATTGGATTTGTTTTAGATAGGCACAACATGTTTCATATGCAGACCTTATTTTCCTGTTCCATGTTAAAATAAACCATTTTCAGTGGTACCGCTGAGAAAGAGTCATTTTTTTGGTCATGGAAAATTAGGTAAAGGTCATGGAGAAGTCATGGAAAATCATTGGTGAAAAAGTGTATGAACCCTGATACTGGTACAAAGGACAGACATACGTGCAATAGATGTGGAGTGTACAGCATAAACCAACATAAATAATTCAGTATATAGACAATCCAAATGCCAAAAAGATACATATGTATATGAACATGTGTCCAGGAGGAGGTAAAGCATGAGCCACAGAACTCCCTCTCTGTCATGCAACATGGAAGGAGGGCAGACTACACAAACACACAAGAAGCTACACTGAAGCCCACCATTCACACGGATCGGAGAAACAAACACAGGGAGGAGCGAAGAGGCAGAGTGTTTGCAGAAAGGGGCTCAGAGGAAAGCCAGTGTCCCAGAAAGGGGGATTACTGAAAGTCTGTCCCTTGGAAACTTGTGCTGAAACTAACCAGCTGTGTGGCACAATACTCACTGCTTTTAGTCCTCAGTGGGGCATACATTTGGCCATTGTTCGCCATTTCATAATCGCTCTCCCAGCTTTAAATTCGGCTCATTTTTAGGTTCATGTTTGTATGTAGTGTCTCTACTGTGACATGACTCCAAGCTTTAATGTTCAAAAGGCTCTTTATTTTTCTCATACTGCCTGTGCTGCAGCACCTCTTTTCACCCTCTGTCTGAAACCAGAGTCTGCTCTGTTGTGATTGGTCAACAGAGATGTCCCGCCCCTTAGCAAATCACCACAATGTGTACAAAAACAGATTATTACACATTCATTATCTACTAAATATAATAAAAGATAATATTGTTGTGCAAAAATGTAATTAAATTAACACACAGCAGCCTGACCTGAACTAAAAAGTGCTTTCATTTTAATTAGGGGCTTTATTATCAGATTTAATTATGAAACCCACTGAAGGCCAACAAATATGTTACAAAATGTGTTTTTTTATTAATTTGTTTGCAACAATTAAGACTCTACCCGTTTCCTTTCTATGAAAGACCTTGCCTATTCCTATGGTTATGAAAAAGTGCTATTCTTGTGAACTCTTTGACACCAAAATGTTTTCAGTGTTTCTCCAGTAAGATTCTGAAGTGTACTGGATGTTCAGGAGTTATTGTACTGAAGTGGTGTTGTCTTGCGGTGGCATTTCCTCTGCTATAGCTTTCCATCACCATGTGACGAAGGGATTGTTCGAGAACGATTTCTTTAAATCACTTCATTGCAACCATTTGGACCGCAGAACCCCAAGGCTGAAGAGGGGTTTCCATGGTAACGTGTGTGTGTGTGTGTGTGTTCCTTCCCTAGGAAAATGGCATTGAGGCCATCTACGCTCCTCATCCCTGCCCTGCCTGGACCCTCCCTTGGGACAGCTTACCAGAAGCCATCAACCCCACTGAAGGTAAAGTCAAATCTCTGTCCTCCATTTTCTTTTTGCCCTTCTGCCCTCTCACTCTTTTCTGTGCTCAATTATTTTCCGTTTTCTAGTTCCTAACCCTTTCCATCTGCATTAAAACCTCCTCCATCTCTTAATCTGTGTGCTTCTACGTTACACCTACTCCCTTTTGCTTTCTCCTTATTACTCTGTGAAAGTCAAAACAAATGCTGATACTGTAAGAGCGAGGAATGTGTATAAATATTTGCATAACACCTTCCCTTACTCCCGTGGCCTGGTGGTTTTTAGTGGCACCTCACAAAAGAAAAATAAGAGCCACCGATGCAGAGATTACTGTTGAGCCTCAGCTGGATGTTTTCTCCCCACGAGGCCCCGTAATGAATTTTAAAGTGCTTATCTCAAAGTGTTATCCTGCTTATGTCACGGGGTGAAAAGTGTGAAATAGGTCTGTGACCAAAACAGCCTCGGCACAAAAACATGCACACACTGAATGCACACACGCCTGATGCGCATGGTGGAACTTGTGCATATGGGTTAGTGGTTACTGATTGCAGTGAGCGCTCTATCTATTAGGCAATGAAGCTCTCTGATTGCTGCCCCAGGGGGCACTGCAGAGAGGAGACCTCTAGATCTCTCTTTATATCTCTTGTATGTATGTATGGTTTTTATTTTATATGAGTCATTTCTGATGCAAAATGGTATGAATGCATGAGTTAAAGCTGCAATATTATATCAGTAATATTGCTTTTTAAGAAAATGTAGGGTTTCATACCAGTAGTTTAATGTAACCAAGTACATTTACTCAAGTACTGTACTACTTGAGAGACCTGAATACTTTTCTTTTTATGCTAACTTACTTTTTTAACTTCTAACTATAGGTTAAACTATTCAGATTAGTATATAAGGTGTGTGGCAGACAGTGGACTAGTGCGTTGGTGTTCGGATCGGGCGGGCACAGGTTCAATCCCCACTGCATGTCGTTGTGTCCCAGGGCAAGACACTTCACCCCAAATTGCTCCTGTGGGGATTGTCCACAGTATTTGGATAAAAGCGTCTAACAAGTAACATGTAATGTAATGTCATCCAAATAAACCGCACCTTTACCAACTGAAACATTCAAGTGATGATGCTTTAATAATGATCATACATACATTTTAATTTATATGATTCTGAAATGAGCCATTCTACATAATGAGCACTTTTACTTTTCGTACTTTAAGTACATTTTGATTCTAATACTTTTGTACTTTTAATTGAGTACTGTTTTACGGACTTTTAGTTTACTGCTAAGTAAAAAATCAGTATTTCTTCCAACTCTGGTTCATACTAGGGCTGTACCAGTTGGAATAAATCACTAATAATTAGCGATTACTTTGACCGATATTGCAATTGTGTACACCATATTGGAGGGATGGATCATTTTGTAATCATAGTGAATTTTCTTTTTTTAACCATTATGGTAGGATTACTTTTTTTGAGGATCTGTATCGAACAAACATGTTTTCTTAAGTCTGTAGAATATTATTTGTAGGCTGGGGAATCTCAAGAGCACCACAATACTTAATTTGAACACATATTAAAGCCTTTAAACACTTACTGCGATTTGGATATTTGCATAAATCCATATTCCAATTTTTAAAAACATTTTGATTAATTGTGCAGTCCTTTTTGAAACAGACACACAGTCTATACTGAATGAATATTTAAGATGTTTCTCTTTCTCATTTTGCAATGCATTCATTTCTTGCTTCTTGTCATTTTCACTTTCACTTTTCACATTCTCATCCCTTATCCCTCCACTTATCAAAGAACAGATGAAATTGAAATGGCTTCCTCTCTTTCTGGGCTCTTTTGTTTTGCGAGTATACTCTTATTTACCCTCGAATTATCCTTTGAATGAACTTCAGTATCACTTTGATCTAAACAAGACTTACCGCACAATAAGTAATCTTTAACTTTCACTGTACAATATTTAACCTTACATTCTGTTTTATATTTTATTGTACTTTCATGTACATAAAATCCTGCATTCAAAATCATCGTACTCTCTTTCATTTGCACTATTTCATTTATTTGTATTTGTTGTCTTATGTCCTCTATATAATATGTTGCATTGTTGGAGGAGCTCAGGACTTAAGATTGTCATTGCCATAACTAAAATGTAGCTACAGTACTGTGCACATGATAATAAAACCCTTGAATGTTGAATTCAAGTTGTACATTCTTTCATAGACCCATGGTTACAAAGTGCGTCACGACACAATGAAGGGCAGGGAATAATGTAAACAATGTTTTTGGTCATTTTTGCAAAAATACAGAACATTCACTGGTTTCAGCTTCTCAAATGAGAAGATGTTATTCTTTTCTTTCATTAAATATGAATGTATATACTCAATATCTTTGGTATTTTGACTGTTGGTTACATAAATCAAGTTATCCAAATGTATAATATACATAGTTGTGGTTTCTTTTTGATACTTAAAGCCATAATAATGTATATCCCTCTGTAGGTTTTATTTAATTGATTCAAACAAACAACATTCAACACAAATCAATTTATTAATCACTGAGTGTCATTTTTCTCCCCCTTTATCAATCCAGTATGACCTTGAGTCAAACTGTTGTTTTAATGGTTGATTTTTAAATGTATGCTCCAATTGGTGTAAAGTCAGCCATATTAGATCAGTGACACTTGTTTAAAACAGTTTTCTTTTACCGTATCTACATCTGAAAACAATGCTTTTTTTAATCATCCTACAATGAGGGAACATTTTGGGCTATGAGTCTCAACAAAGTTACCTGATACTTGGATTCAAAACATAAATAGTAGTTGGAGTAGTGTATTATAACTTAAAGCTAGCCCTTAAAGGTAGGGTAGGTAGGTTTGAGAAACCGGCTCGAGATCGCTAGAATTTGAAAATACACAACCGGAGAAAATCTGCCACTTCCTTACAGAGCCCCTCCTCCAACACACACGAACGCGCACATGACCAATGAGGGCACGAGATAAGTTTGTGCACAGATGGAAGGCTGACAGGCAGGTAGGCCATCCAGTTATTTTAGCCGGGCCGGCTAAAATGATTGGTCGTGCTTTTTACAGTACTACGGCTTCCACAGATTACATTTTTTTTATGGATTTTTTGTCAAAGCACTTAAGATATTCATTGCTATCGGGATGTTAAGAGCATTCCATGGAATATAACAAAAAGTGTATCTCGAGCCGGTTTCTCAAACTTACCTACCCTACCTTTAAAACCGATAATCAAATTTCAAGTACAAAGCGCTGTATGGAAATCCACACAATGAACAACATCATTATCTTTTGACTGCTTTGTACTAGCTGTAATTTCCCCCCTCTTTGCAGCCTATTCATGTATCTCCTCTGTACAACTTAATCTGTTTCTATGCTAAGAAACCCCGCTGACATCCCAGCAGAAGTGCTCTTGATGATGTGGGCAGCGTATCTATTCTGAGAGTGAGATAGACTACATTTGAGCCGTCCCATTTTTGTCAGCACTCTGCATGATAAATGGCTCTGTTGATATCTCCTCCTGCAGTATCAGGCTCGCAGGTAGCCCTTCTGTTCCAGTGCTGTGTAATTAAAGAGGAACAGAGACAAAAGGCAGACAATTTGTACTGAACCCCAGCGCGTGGGCTTCCCATCCATCTCCCTTCTGTTTACGCAAATGGCTGCCCACACGTACTACCGGCCAAAGAATTCTCCATACCTATGCATAAATATTTCCATATCTGCAAAATGTACAGCATGCCCTCTTCGAAAGCCGTTTTATTTATAGGTAATGTCTTCCAGTATTCATGTGAGTTCATGTAAAGTTTTCTGGTGGTTTTGTTTCGGCTTTGCACTGTCAAATGAATCAATGATTTGTATTCAAGTCTTTCAATCCATAGAGCGGTGTTTACAAATTTGAGCCGTTTAAATCCATACCCATGAAGGGTAAAAGAGGCTTCATTTTTCACAGTCAATATTTATGCCTTTTAACACCTCAAAAATGCCCTTAAAGCTGAAAGTCAGCACTTTAACCTTGTGGAAGTTGTTTAATTTAAAATCCATTATTCTGGTATAAAGCCAAGACTAAAAAAATCTCAGTGTCTTGAAACTTTATGACTTTACAGCGAGTTTCTTTCACATTGTTCATATATATATTTCGACAAAACAGATGAAAGATACTCCCACTTTATGGAGTGTTAGCCTTATTTTACAGCCAGCTCCATTATAATTGACCCAACTAATTGGCCTGCAATGGCAACCAGTACACAGTGACACTCAGGTATGCACAATGTATGAGGAACAAAGAGACCTCTGTGTATCGGAGCTGTTTACATTTTTCCCTTCTTGTGTGGAGAGCTGCTCTGCTAATTGTGATGAGGGCTGTCTGCAGACACGTAAACAGCCGTGTGAATACAGGGCTCTTTGTATAGAGCAGCGTCTTGTCTGCAGCGCTTCACTTAATAGAGGGAGGAGGGAGGGGAGGTATAACGTGGGTTAGAATGATGGCGTGTGTGACAGTGGGAGATTGAGATAGGAGTGAGACAGCCTGAAGAGAGACAAGGGGTTGTCAGGAGAAAACAAGGCAGAGGAAGAGAGGTGAACGAGACAATCGGGCATTAAAGTGGGAGGGCCGCTGCTGTGGACTCTGCATAGTTGTCATGCCTTAGACATCCTGCTGTTTGGTCCTCCAGGTTGTTTTGGTACAAGGAGATGAGTTGGACTGCTGGAGTGAGAACTGGCTCCATTTGTCTCGTGTCTCCATGCTGTATCTGCAGGAGAAATGTAATTGAGATCTCACAAACTTGGCTCCTGTGATTTTTAAAAATATTTTTCCTCTGCAGTTATAGAAGAAAAAGTAGATAATTGGACAGTAAATTGGTGTTATTTGTAGATATCTAATCTTGTGGTTCTCCAATATGCGTTTTTCTCTGGTAGATGTGGATATTTAGAGAGAGAAATTGACATGATGCCCATTTATTTATTTTTTTTTACATGT